TAATAGCAACAGTCATCATTTTGTGTTCTCTTTTCTTCCGTGCCCCAACTGTTTGTGCTGTACAATGCCTGACAAATAACTGACAAATAACCCTTTGTCTCCCAAAGATCTGGGACACAGCAGGGCAAGAGCGATTTCAGTCCCTCGGTGTGGCCTTCTACAGAGGAGCAGACTGCTGCGTCCTGGTCTTTGATGTGACTGCCCCTAACACATTCAAAACTCTTGACAGCTGGAGAGATGAATTTCTCATCCAAGCCAGTCCCAGGGATCCTGAAAACTTCCCCTTTGTTGTATTGGGAAACAAGATTGACCTAGAAAACAGACAAGTAAGTGATGTGCCCATCTCTCACTTAGAAGATGGGAAAAGCCTCAATTTTTAAATCTTTAAAAATGGACCATGTGAATGTATATAGCAAATATGTGGATTAGAGGAATCTCTTGAGGCAACCGGATTTGGGTAAAGGGCTTCATGTTTAGAGCACTGAAAGGTCTTGAGCCTTGCTTTTTACACTTGAGTGAGGGGGGGGGGCAGCACTTTGGAAGGAAAGGCTTCCCCTTTCTTCATGTGTCTAGTAATTGGGCTTCTGCAGGAACCTGCTTAGGGATGAGCTGAGCCATAGCCTTTCTTTCTAGAATGTGGTGTGATATAAACACAAGAACACTAACTAATGAAAGTTAGGTTCTTGGACATGATCCCACTCTTGGTGCTGGTTTATTAAAACCATCAGAGAAATGGCTTCCTATCTCCCATTAGTCTAAAATGGGGATTGCTTGCCAATTATATCTGACAAGAATGGTAGTAATTGGGACAGCTGGGTGGCACAGTGGCTAGAGCACGGGCCCTGGAGTCAGAAGGACCTGAGTTCAAATCTGGCCTCAGACACTAGCTATGTGACTCTGGGCAGGTCACTTAACCCCAATTGCCTCAGCAAAAAAAATAAGAAGAAGAATGGTAGTAATTGTCCAAAGTAGAGTCAGTTCAGGAAGGAAAAAAAAAAAAGGAAGTGGGCTTGGTAAATACTCAAGGAGCATCAAGCTTTTCTGGTTTTAACTAAATTCCATTCATGTCTTGATCTTATGTATAGCCTCTCCTCCTGCTCTTGTCCAGAGGCAGCTTTCTTTCCCAGTGAGGCCATGCCAGGAGAATATGGCTACTCTGGAGCATTAGGATGCTCATCGGTGGGCCTGAAATAACATTGGCAGTAAATGGACCCCCAGACCTTCTCAGCTTCCAGGGACCCCCTAAGGACATGAAGGCTGCTAGGCAAAAGATAGTTAATGGTAGCAGCTAGTGTAGAGTCTGTGTAAAATATCTTTTGTGGCCAATAGAACCTGATTAGGTATCATATAATAACCGATATAACTCATTAAAGCCACAAACTTTATTTGAGCTGCTAATATTCTCCCAGACACCTTAGAAAAAACTTTAGTACTCCAAAAGTTTGAACTGATCTCCACAATAAGAGATTTGTTGGGTGCACTTTCTCTGTCTCCCACTCTTTTGCTCCCTCCTCTCTCATATCATGCATCCATCCATCCATACATAAGTGTTGAGCATGTATTTTAATCTTTTAAATATAGTTCAGAACTATTTATGATGAAGACCAAAGCCTCGTTTAGATCTTGCCTTTCCTCTGCTTCTGACAGGTTGCCACAAAACGAGCACAGGCCTGGTGCTACAGCAAAAATAACATCCCATACTTTGAGACCAGTGCCAAGGAAGCCATCAATGTGGAGCAGGCTTTCCAAACCATTGCACGAAATGCACTTAAACAGGTGAGTATCAGGGAATGATCTGTCTCCCTCTAGTGGCTCTAACCACTGATCTGCTTGGGGATTGGCATTCTAGGCCTTCTGTATGGACAAAATGGTTGACATAGCATTCCAACCCTTGAAACATAGTTTTACTTATTTTACTTTAATTGCTTTTTATCCGAATATCCCAAATATTTCATCTATTATAATAATGATACATATTTTGACCTCACCATTTGATCAACCAAATTTGAACACCTACTACATATAAGGACCTGCAGAGGATACAGGAGTTTAGATGTGTCCCCAGGCATCTCACCCAGGTTCACAACATTGGAGTTTTTAACCTTCTCCCCTCCCCCCCCCAAATATCCAGTTAGTAGCCAAGTCTTGGACAGTTGTCTCACCTTTCTCTCCTCTTACAGCTTTTGTCCTGTATCAGTTTCATTGCAGTGGCCTCTTACTTTCCTGCCTTCCATTTTTTCCTCCCTCTACTCCATCCTCCACATAGCTGCTGAATTAATGTTGCAGAGCAGACCGTGACCCCTGTGTTTAAAAATCTGTAAAGGCTTCCTATTGCCTCCTCAAAGAATTCTTTACCTCTAAAATCTGTGAATTTGAATGGGCGAGTGGATATAGAATCACATCTTTATTTTTACTAACTTCTAATTGAAATTTAGCATGTTCTTAAATTGTACATTTTTAAAAACACAAAAATTATTCTGATAAGGTGTAGATAGGTTTCACCAGACTGCCAAAAAGGTCCTTGACATACCTAAGGGTTAAGAACTCCTTTTCAAGTACAAGCTCCTTGGCTTGGCAACAAAGGCTTTTGCCCCCATGTCCCTTCCACCTCATAGAATTTCCATTGTCTTAATTAAAACCACAGCTGAGCTGCTACTATCTCCTCCATAACAGGACTCCCACCCTGTTCCCGCTCCCATCGTGCAGAGCCCCCTCCTTCCTGAGACTCCTTCATTATCTGTGTGTTGGGCTTGTAGGATATGAGCTTCTTGGGGGAGGTCCAGTGTAGTTTTGTGTTTGTTATTTGTCTCTCCACTGCCTGCCAACTAGAATTGTTGATGGTCCCTTACCCTCAGGAAGCAAAGAACTTAGTGGGGGGACAAACAGCGTCATAGAAAAGAATAACAAAGGGAAAAGGGCTGTAGGGTAGGAGATCAAGGTTGTTTCTAGACACCTGGGGAAGATTCCATCCCTTCTGTTAAACTGCCAACATACTGACACAGAAGAAGTCATTGTTGTCTGTCTTAGCTGGGTTTTGCCAGAGGTTCCTGATGGTAGGTTCCTGAAAACAAATCTCCTCCTGTATGTAGTTCCCTTACTGTTATTTGGCTGCTTCTGCATCACCTTTCTTGTCCTTTGTCCCATACAGGAAACAGAGGTGGAACTGTATAATGAATTCCCGGAGCCCATCAAACTGGACAAGAACGACCGAGCAAAGGCTTCTGCCGAAAGCTGCAGCTGCTGAAGAGGCGGCGGGTAGAGCACAGAGCCCTTCACAAACCAATATCACACTTAGGCCTTCAGACACAAGCCCCCTCTCCTAGTCAAACAAACAAGAAATCAATTCTCCCATTTCCAGCTGCCAAAAAATGTCACCCTAATCTGCCACGAGCAAACATGATCCCATTTCTGTACACAGCTCCATGGGTGTCAGCCCCTCCACATCAGCTGTTCTGTATGCTAGCAGGACCAGTCATTTGTGGAAAGAGTTAGTTCTGATGTGGGCTTGACATTGGAAACACTTCCACTCGTCCAATGGAGAAAAACTGTTGACAGTTAATCTGTGTATAATTAGTTACCTGGTTTTTTAAACTGTCTCATTTTTTTCCTCCTCCTTGTGAAGGCTGCACCTGGGAAGGCTGGTTATCCATAGTTCATTGCAAGCTCACACCCAGTTTAACTAGGTGGAGTTTTGTATGTATCTGTTAATGCTTGTTACTTTTAACTAATCAGATCTTTTTACAGTATCCATTTATTATGTAATGCTTCTTAGGAAAAATCTTATAGTACATGTTAATATATGCAACCAATTAAAATGTATAAATTAGTGTAAGAAATTCTTGGATTACGTGTTTAAGTCCTGTAATGCAGGTATGTAGGATGAGGGGAGAACTTTGTTCTGGATTGCAGAGTGCTAGCAATACAGAATTTTGAAGTCCAGCTAGAGGCAGTATTCTGTACAGTAGAATCGAGAATTATGTAAGCCTTTTTATTGAAGACTTAAGAGCCAAAAAGCTTTTCATCTCCTTGGTGGGGGGAGGGGGGTTATCTAGTTACATTTCTGTGTCTAAATTTTCAAAAGGGTGATTGGCGTAATACACTGATGTGAGGAATGGATTAATGGAGACTATTTGCAGGTCTTAAAATTCTTGTTTTTTTCCCTGCTCCACATTTTAAAACCTCCACTGAATCAGCATTCTACAAAAGTAAAAAAGGAAAATCTACAGATCCATTGTAGTGATTTTACCTTTGTTCTAGAAGGCGCTCCTTTCTGGGTTGTGGTATTCTTAGGCTAGCAAACTTGTTCCTCCTCCCTCTCCTCCTGCCCTAGGATTGCCCATATTACTGTTTCTTTGGTATGGAGAAATTTACGGTTTAGCTGCCCTCCTTAGTATCTGTTCCTGCATTGTAGCTTGCTTACATGGAGCACTTCTCCCTATTTTCCAGAGGTCTACATTCTAGGGTGTGGGCTGAGTTCTTCTGTAAAGAGATGAACGTGATGCCAATAAAATTTAACAAGAACAATGACCACCTTGTTTCTCCCTGTCTTTATTTCCTCCACCACCTCAGGTCCAAGGAGCTAATAAAAATCACTTCAGCTAATTACTGAGCTACTTAACAATGGAAGAGATTTTCCAGGTCTCTGAAATTAGCAGTTCTAGTCACTTCAACACACAAAGGGTCATCTCATTTCTGCTTCCCCCTCTCTCCTCAGTAAATAAACAGACAACCAAGTATGAGTTATTTTTAGGCTGATGTGGAAATAGTACATTATAGGAAGGCTGATGTGGAAATAGTACATTATAGGAAATGGTATTAATCTTGTTGGGGGATCAGATTCATGCTGAAATATTGATTATACTAAGCACAGATCCTCTCTGCCTTCATGGCCTTGTGATGAAATGAGGATAGCACCTCAGACCCATTGCTGGCAAAGCTTGGGTTCCTAGCTTTCTGCTATCACCCAGATAATAAAAAGAACTGGAAAATTTTTTGCCTGAGTTTGGCCTTTCTAATTTTCTACCATGTTTAGTGGAATCTCTTTTGCATATCCTGGTGTACTATAGTCCAGTTCACTCAATTAACATTTGGGTTAAGTGCCCACCAGGCTTCTTGAAAAACACACAGAGGAAAATTTAGAAATAGACTCTGTATGATGTATATCATCACTACCACTCCCTCAGTTTAGATTCATAGCTCCAACTTAAACCATTTCTGGTTATCTCCCTTCTACTTCACAGCCTTCCAGGGTTATGGTGCTAGGAGGAAGAACTGAAGTGTAATGTAGTGGAAGGAGCCTAAGATTGTGATCTCTCAGCTCCATCACTTCCTGTTCAAGGAGTTCCAAAAGTCTAACACCTTGAATAACCTTGAACAAGTCAAAGGGTTATTGTCAAGATCAAATGAAGTAACAGATGTTATGCATACTCTGAGGCTAAAGTGAGATTTAATCTCTTTCTTCTCTACCATTCTACTCTTGAATCCTGGGCTGAAACTTCAGGTCGTTAGAGGAATGGGAGCTTTTTCTGTTTGGGCCATAGGTCCAAATGATCTCTAGTCAAATGGTATTTATTACATCAGGGACGTTTCCTTTGTCACCAGATCTTTGCTGGTTTTTCTGTAGGCATCTGTGCTTAGCTTCCTTTTGATCATTGATTCTTCTAGAAGTCTGTATTTCTAGCTTTTCACTATGAAGTGGCCTATACCAGATGGCCTATGTCCACGTCTCTGGTCACCAAATCACCTCTTCACCTTTTTTTCATTATGCAAATATCCATTTTGTTTATCTTGCTACCTGTAATATGGGTTTCCTGCTTTGGGCTGACAGGTTAACAGCTATAGCCTGCTCTGGGCAACTTAAGTGTGACACACACACACACACACCCATGCTTTATTTTAATGAAACAGCTCTGTTCTCTCCCAAGTAGAGAGATCTTGAGTGTGGATGTTAACATGATTATGTTCTACCATTGGTTGGAGAGAAGGAAAAGAAGACTTTTCACTAGTTCTTGCATCTTAGTGACATCCATAAATTGTTGTTCAATTGAAGAGAAGAAGGGAACTACTCCAACAAGCATTATATAGAATCAGGCCTGGGCTTCCTGACTCAGAATGGTTATCGAATATCTTCCAAATGGCCAGTATAATTTCCTTCATCTCTCTAATGCCTGAAGACTGGATTCCCCACCTCTCTTCTTCTCCCGGCCCATGTCCTCCCTTCCCCCAGAAAAGGCGTTGCTTTTTCAGAAACAGTATCATTGAGCATTATTGTTCTAATTGCTCATAGAAAACAATGCTGGTTTGGGGAATGACAAGGGTTGGTCTCGATGACTGAACAGAAATCCACATGAAACATTATTATTTTATTCTCTTCTTGTTACATTCTAACAGATTATGTGAAACTTGGTCAAATCTGCCTTAGGAGGACTAAGGAGGAAGCTTCCAGAGCCTACTTGACCTTAGGCTTATGAGCAAATGTTACCATGAGGTTATGTGTCTGAGGCTGGATTTGAATTTAGGTGTATTCCTGTGTTGTAGCACTCTATTCTCTGTGCCACCTAGCTGTCTCTAAATTATAAAATATAATAGTATTTGTTATAAATACTAAGCCAGCTGGCATCCCCTATGGTGAATTTCTGGGAAGTGGGCAGGCATGGAACATGTTCCAGTAGGTACCTTTGACCACCATTGAGGACAACTATACATGAAGGAGGCAGCAGGGGTGGAGGGATCCTTCAAGATGAGAAAGCCACAGAAATGGAGTGGTCTCTGTATATTTGAAATGCCTTTGAAATGGTTGAGGGCTGGTATTCTCAACACTTTCCCATAAACTATAACTTGTTTCTGTTTCTTCCTCTCTTTGTAAATATTTCATTTCCTTCCCTTTCACTTTGCTATAAGGAGTTTAGTCTCTTTAGCACTGAGAACTTGAAAGACTTGAGGTTTGGGGTTAGGATCTACCTTCTTTTTAGAGTTATAATAAAAACTCATTCTGGACGTGTACCCCTATGTAAACCTTAACTAAGCACTGTATAAATGTGAGTTGTTAGGACTTAGCTTAATCCACCTGGCACAAAAAAATGCATCTAGGCCACGTAAGTCAGACTTTTTGGTGTCTTCCTTTTATGCCAACTGTCTTTTTCAAACATAACTCACCACCACCACATAGTGAGCCTTCCCTTATAACAAGAACAGGTTAGTAAAACCAAGTGACACATTAACCATACCTGACAGCATATGTAACATTTTTCGACCACAATCCCCAAATCTTTCTACTAAGAGGAAGGAAGAATGTTTGGTCATCTCTTCCAGGACCAAGACTGACCATTCCAATCAAGATGAATCAAGCTACCTTTCAGTGTTTTCACTTACATATTGTCTCCTGATTTGCCTTTTGTCATTCTGAATCAGTTCATAAATCTTCCCAAGTTTCTCCAAACTCCTTCTCATTGTTTTAATTGGAACAGTGATATTCCAATAGGCAGGCAAGTGTTCCATAGTGCACATAGAGCCGGGCCTGGAATTCAAGAAAACTGGATTCAAATTCACCTGACAGACTCCTGGCTTTGTCACCTTAAACAAACCAGTGCCTCTGACAGCCTGAAAGAGCTTGACAGAAGGTGTTGATCCGCATTGGTAAAGAAGCTTCCTAAGTGCAGGCAATCACAGAGCCAGCAAAATCGGGGGAGGAATGATACTGCATTAATGTGCCACAACTTGGCGTTTCTACTTTTTCCCCCCAACAAAAAGTCCTGCGAACATTCTGGTGTAACGGCAGGTTATAGGCTTAAAGTTGGAAGGTGTTTTGGAGAGAGAGAGAGAGAGAGAGGGATCCACCACTCACCCTCCCTGCAGTCATTTAACCTTTGCTATTTTGTGTCTCTTGGACACCCCTGTGACAGGATGCTTACTGTCATACGGTGTCAGACCATGGGCTACTAGTGAATTACTCAGATGGTTGTCAGAATCAAATGGAGAGCTTTCTGCATCTAGTTCCCTGGAACTCACCCATTAGTCCTAGCTATATGCCCCCTCAAGCTCTCCTCCCTCTCCCTTCAGAAGCCCTTCAGATACTAGATGACTTTCCCAATTCCCTTACACACTCTTCTGCAGGTTAAGCACTGCCATTTCCTTTTGTCCTTTCCAGAACCCTCAATCTGCCCTCTGGACAGGCTCCATTTTACTCAGATTCCAGATGCTAGTCCATCCTCCGTGCTCTGGCATTGACCTTATCCTGCAACTTTACTGAGGTTTAGGATCTAGGATCTACCAGAGAGGGATATTTCTAGATGGAACAGAAAAAAGTCTAATCCATAGGATTTATTAAATTTGCCATTGGGTCAGGACTAAGCTATGATTGTGAGCTATTCATTCAAATCTTTCCTTTTGAACTTGAGGGGAAGCTTGAGGCAGCATTGTGTAACAGAAAGAGCATTAGACATGGGAGTTAGACCCAATTCAAGTGCAGACTGATATTAACTACATTAACTTTTGACATTTGCTTTATTCATCTGTAGAATGGGGATAATTGCAGTGCTAAATCTTATGGTTCTTATACTACCTAAGTCACAAGATGATTGTGAGAAAAATCATTTGTCAGCCTTAAAAGTATGCTATAAATATGAGTCATGAGTAGTGTGGAAGAATGAAGTGTCAAAGCAGGGAGGAGTTTTTCAGTTCAACCCAAGTTCGGAGCAGAGAAAGCCAACCTTGAGAGGAGATGCAGTGTAGTTTCCAACAGAACTTTGATGGCTGAAAGCAAGGTCCTCCCCGCAGACGTTAAGTACAGCTGTCATAATCTCCTGGAGCCTGAAGTACCTTCCTTGCAGTATGGTTGTGAGCGAAGCTCAAGACACCACAGAAGTGGGTAACTGCTGAAGTTGCCATCAGATGAGGGAACAGACCTAACTTGCCCACAGTTAACCTGAGGGTCTGTGACTCACAGAATATCATCTCAGAAAAATCAAAAGCAGATATGGAATGCCAATAATGACTTGCCCACAAGAAGTGGCATAAGACATTTACAATGCAAGAAGTCTGGACCCAAGCGCCAGTGATGTAAACAGAATTCATGTCTGTGTTGGGAGTGGGAGCTGCACGTACAGAAGAGCCAGGGCAAGAATCACACAAGACAGAAAGGTGTGAATAGTTTGGTTTCCACCGAGGAGCGAGGAGTGGAAGTCACATAAGTGACAGCCTTACAACTAGGATTTATCCACAAGTGAAGTGGGATGCCTCGGATGCTGCTGGGATTCCCCCACCACTGGAGCTCTTGGGCAGACTGGCCAAGTGCCACTTGAGGATGCATCTTGTGGCTTAGCGTAACTAGAAAGTAAGCTCCTGAGGGCAGGGACTATCTGACTTAAGTGCCCTATTCCTGGCACTTAATGAATCATTTATTTAATTAAGTGAACTGGAATGCCCACTAAGGTGTCCTGCAACTCAGATTCTGTAAACCCCAGGCTCTTTCTACCTGTTGAAGCTGTGCACAGACGGCAAAAGCAGCTGTGGTCTCATTCCCTGTCCCAGGGCCCCAGTGGGGTTCATTCTTTCTCTTCCATCCCGGGGAAGCTGCCGAGTCTCAAAATCCTGAGCCGGGGCTCCCGAGGCTGAAAGAGTGGGGGTGGGGGAGGGAACTGGCAGCTCCTGCACCCTGGGAAAGGCAGAAAAGTAGCCGAGGGCATCAGCAAGCAACACACCCTGCACAGCGTCTGTGGTGTAGTCATGGTAACGGTGACGTCAAGCGGCCCGGAGCCCGGGCTTCCTCCACAGCCTCGTTATCCGACCAAATCTGCTCCCAGCCCCCTGCTCAGCTCGGCGAAAGCGCTCCACATCTGAGGCTGTGCATCCCCCACGGTGACAGGTGTGCCCACCGACAGGATGGGGGCAGAGCCAAACGAGACTAGCTGAAGCCACAGCGAGGAGAAACATCCCCCCATCTGAACTACGTGTGTTGGTGCTGGGGAGGATCACAAAGAAAGCACAGGGAGGGAACTTAAAACCATTACCAGTTAGAGAGGGAAGAGGCTTCAGGCAGCACAGTGCACCCTTGTTTTACCAACCAAGGAGGAACTGGAGAAGACCTGTCTGTAGAGGTGAGATGACTTCTCCCCATTGTCACAAGCTGTTAAGTGACTCAGGCCTGGCTTCCACATCCCTTCAATGTGATTGCAGCCCCTACATTCTGAAGTCTCTCTCCTCTCTGACCTCTAAGCCCTTTCTGACATTCTGACCACCACCTCCTCTCAGATACTCTCTTCTCCTTGGGCTTCCTCACTCTCTTCTTTAACTGTTTGCTTCTTTTTTTTTTTTTTAAGGCAACTGGGGTTAAGTGACTTACCCAGGGTCATACAGCTGGTTAAGTGTCAAGTGTTTGGTTTGAGGCCAGATTTGAACTCAGGTTCTCCTGACTTCAGGGCTGGTGCTCTATCTACTGTGCCACCTAGCTGCCCCTGTTTACTCTTTTTCTATCTTTGCTGGTGTATTCTCTATTTCTCACCCCCAAAGCCTGAATGTTCTACATCTCCCCTGCCTTCCCCACCTCGAGACAGTCATGGCCACTGCTCTGTATTCTATATTCTCTCTCCCATGGTGCTCTCTATTGAGAGCATAGTATAAAGAATAGCCTTGGGGCGGCTAGGTGGCACAGTGGATAGAGCACTGGCCCTGGTGTTAGGAGGACCTGAGTTCAAATCCAGCCTCAGACACACAAAACTCACTAGCTGTGTGACCCTGGGCAAGTCACTTAACCCCACTGCCTAGCCAAAAAATAATAATAATAATGATTTTTGAAAAATAATAATAAAATGAATAGCCTCTATTGAGTTGAAACCCTAATCCCTTTCCTGAACTGTTGAACTACAATCCCCATTTCCCAACTGCCTGCTGGATGAATCTCCCAACTGCATTATCCTGTTGGGGTCACAAACCAGACAGAACTGAACCCTGACTAGAATGTGGGAAACTTGCCCTCTGGACTTGGTTCTTAGGTTAGTATGTTCCTAATACTTTTATGTTAGAAAAGAGAGGGAAGAGGGATCCTGCTATGATTCTTTTCATCCCCATTAAATTTATATTTAACTCTCCCAAATATAGGAAACAATTTGAATTCCAGCACTTTAAAAATGGTAAAGGCTTGGATGCTTACTTTCATCCCTTCCCCTCCCTGTAGGTTCCCCATCTCCAGCACTCCTGAGGCCCTCTTATCCCTGTGGGTGCTCCCTCTAATAACATTCCTAACCACCCAGTACTTTAATGCATATTCTCCCCTAAATTGATAGGAAGTCCACCCAACATGCTGGGTGAGTGTCTTCCCCATATTTTTTTGACATCTTGAGCATATGAATGTGCAATGGAGGTTCTGATTTTCAGTTGATTGGTTTTACATTGATCAAATGTTGATTTTTCTCCCCTATTGAAGTGCAGATAATAATGGGGAAACACCCAAAAGGAGTTAAATTATAAAGATACTAGTAGGAAGGGTTATCCCTTTATGGAATGTGAATAAATTTCTGCTTACTGAATTGGAAGGGGCAACTGCCAGTGATTGGGCTGGGGCAGTAGCCAACCCTTTTAGGGGCTGAAGCTCACAAGTGAGTCCAGGGGAGTGTAAACCCTGGGCCTGGGTGGGCAGACGTGGGGGCAGCATGGGGAGGGGCGGGATCTCCCACTCCCCCCCAATCAGCCTGGGTGTAGAGCAGCAGCTCGACTCACCCAGTAGGAAACACTGCTTCAACAAGTTATTCAGGTTGAGGGAGTTCTGAGACATTTGAGGGATCACACACTTTCTAGTCCAAAGCAGTAACTTACGGGAAGAAGCAGTTTGAAGGATGTGCAGAGGGCGAGAGAAAAGAGAGGACTTTGGATTCCAGGAAGAACCAGGCCTAGCAAGTGAGATGAAGACTTCAAGGAAAGGCAGGCTGTGGAGCCTCTGCGATGCCAGACACATGAGTCATCCCGGCCCTTTGTGTTCCCTCAGCACCACTGACCTCTAAGTTTTTGTCTCTTCTTCCCACATAATTGTGGAAGAGTGTGCCCAGGTTTATGAGGTCAGTGTTTTGTAGCTACTGGTTTTACTATTATCAGACCATTAAGGATAATCTCATGGGCAGTCCAGACCCCCCCCCCACATATCTTAGAACTTTTGAGAGAGCCCAGAGAGTATCCCAGAGAGATTGCCAGAAATGGGACATGCAAATTGTCCACTGGTTATCTATCTCCCCACGGAACCGGCCCATCTTTTTCTGTCGTATCCTTTAACCACTGTGTCTCCTGTTTACCTTCACCCAGGCCCACTAAGGGCATCTTCATTGCTCTTTGGATGATCCTTCCCTTCTCTTCCGTGATTCAGCCATCCGAGAGCGGACGAATATTGTTTGAAAGTTGGGCCTGTTTTGGGGAGAAGTTTGGAATGAGAACTCTGCAATTTCCTAAAGGTATCCCAGCTGGCAGGCTCTTTTCTGTTCAGTTCTAGGCCCACCTCGTTTTTCATTTGCAGTGTCTGTCCATACAGATCCAACCAGGCCCTCTGCTTATTGATCCCGTGGACAAAGATAACAAAGACAACCTCGTCTGATGAGCGTGATTAGCAGAGCCCAAGTCAGAGAAGCTTCATCACGGATGGGGGGAAGTCCTCCAGGTGTTCCTGTTTGTGGATGAGATGCTGATATCTAGCCCTAGAACATCAGGGAGGCCTCCTAAGTGAGCCCTCTGTGAGAGTCAGGTAAAGGTTAAATTTCCACAGAGAAAGAGAATAATGCAGAGATTTAAAGAACAACAGCTCCAGGAAATAGTACACTGTAGGTGGGCTCCGGCTTAGCCAAGAAAAAGTAAGTGGATGGTTCCAAAAAGACCCCAAAATCAAGATAAGGGTCGAGCCAGCTCAGACCAGTTAGGGTCAACCTGAGGACACTTGAAAACTGTTAGTGTGCCTGCTTAATGAGCTTCGTTACTATTATCTGACACACCCCGAATAAAATTAGAGCCTCATGAATGCGTCATGGGACGTATGACCAAGGTAGGGGGAACATACTTGAGCATATCAAGAGGAAACATGGAAGGAAAGGTGTAACCTGGGAAGGGATGGACCAATCCCAGCCTGAGAGGTTTCCAGCCGAATTCAACTGCATAAAAGCACACTTGCCCTTGCACTCGGGGCCCACCCCTCCTGAAGAGGGATAGAGCCAGCTTCTGGCCAGAAACGCCTAAATCCTCTGAACTTTCTCTGTAATAAACTTTCTTGAAACTAAATTTTTGGTGTCAAGCATATTTCTAACACCTCTAATCAAAAATTTCCCCCTCCTAACAGCAAAACTGGCCTCCCAAACAAGAAATCCCTAAAACTTCCTCCAAACCATTCTGTTTGCCAGCACATTCTGTTTGCCTTTACATTTCAGATGTTTCCACTCTCTTACTTTTAGCAGGCCTAAGTCACCACTTCAAAGTTCCCTTGGACTTTACAGGTCAAGATCATTTTAAAAATCACTCTTCCCCTGTCTGCCTCAATCTTCCACAAAACAAACAAAAACCCAGGACACAATGCAGCTACAGGTGACTTCACATTCTTCTTCTCCAGAACAACCCATCTTTCACTAGGTGGCTCCAAACTCCCTCATTTCAATCAAGTATTTCATTCAGCTCCCCAACAGCAAGATGCTAGGCAGAACTTCCAAAAGAAACAGTCATTAGCCTCCAGCTAGGGACACAAAATAGTTAGATGATGATATATTGTCTTTGTATTCTCATTCCCCAACCTGTTGCCTCCCTTTCCTTTTCTTGGATTCATTTGATCAATGATCCATTTGTATAATTAAATTCAATAAATGGCAGTTGATTTGATGTAGTAGATTTGAGTCAAAGGACTTGGGCACCTACTATGTGCGACTTGCTGACTATGTAAAGCTGAAAGTCACAGTCTATATCCTGAGTTCCTGATCTAATGGAGGATGAGAGATGAGTGGATGTAACAGGTATAATGACTGTGCAAGGTAGAAGGTGTTAACAGTAAAATGGTGTCAGAAAACCTGAGGGGCAAGAGATCGTTTGGATTGCTCGAAAATGTCAGGGAGAAATCCAGCACCTGAGCTGGGCCTTGAAATCGAGATATGGAGGGAGTGCATTTCCAGGGATGGGAGCTGAACTGATGGGGTATGGGCTTGGGAACCTTCCCCCTGCAAAAACAGGAGAGCCTGGAGCTTGGTAGTGTTCCCACTTTCTCCATCGCATCTCGCCAATGCCCCAGACAACGCCAGAGATCTGACGTCTGGGGCTGGGTTCCTGGAATTCGTGGGAAAATTCAAAGGGGGAGGGGTCTGGAGAACGGAGAGAGAGCAGGAAAAGACTGGGAATAGCAAGTGGCCCAATCTGCCTGGAAGTTGCATAAAAAGAGGCTGTAATACAAGGAGGGAAAGAAAGGCTGGGTCCAGATTGTGGGAGTCCTTAATGAGAATTAGTATTTTCCTATTAATAACCAATTATTAAATTAGGATTGAGATTTTTTTCCTTATTATTTCCTCATTCAGGGACCAGCCTTTATAATCCTCCAGAAACATTCTCCTCCATCTTGGGCGGGACCCCATCAACTTGGAGAGCTTTCTGTTTAAAATGTAAAGAGAACCTAAACTAGGTGAATTCTGGCCCTAAAAAGCATTAGTCTCACAACCTTGAAACCCCATTGTTCAATTTAATGGTCTGGGTGGAAATGGATTCTTTTGTCTGGAGTGCCGGAGGCTGAGTCTCCCCACCTAGTCAAGTTCTCCAAGACAGAAGCTGAAGACTTTTAGCCCACCTCCTCATTAATATAGCCACCTCCCCTCACTGATCGTTCATCAGTCAGGGCACTCACTTTTCCAAAGGCACTTACGCATTTGATGATCCTCCCCGTTCCATACCGGGAGAAACCACTGACCATCAATTTTATTGATTATTTGCTAGCGTAATTAATAAATTGATTATTAATTACCCAGAAATTCTGTCTCTCGGATTTTTCTTTCGTCTCATTGAGCACCAAATTACAGTATTGATTTTAACCTGAGGAAGCAGGGGAATGACATAAGTTGGGTCTGTGCACCAGGAAGATGATTTTGGCAGCTGGGTCAAGATGGATTCTGGGGAAGGGGACTAGAGGCAGAGAGAGGTGAGGGGGCTGTTGTTAATAGTCAAGGAGAGGGATGGAAGGTCTGAAATAAGATGGTGGCAGTGTGAGTGCCACTCACTGCCCTCACCCTGCTGGGGTACAGGCCCAAGCTGAGACCTTTGCCCCTCACCCCAAAAAGAATTTGGGTCCCATTTGTCTAAGGGACTCTCCTAGAATTCTCCCACTTGATCAAGGAGGTCTCTGGTGTTGCCCTGAGGCTATAATCCTATCAACTGGCCTTTCATTATCACCTAGGCCCAATCTCCCTACTCTGGGTTACCCTTAACCTAGCCTAGCTCTCTATTGTCTTACCTCCCAATTACCTGGCCACTTCCCACCCTTAATCCTATCTAGACTCCATTTGCCCTTGTCCACGTGGTCCAAATCTCTGTCCCTGGCATTCTATTACCTCTCAGTCCCAGCAGATTACTTAGTCTCTCCTACATCCCTCCTAAGGTCCATCTTGTCTCCGTTAAGGTGCTCAGATTCCTTAAGAACTTAGCCAATAGCTCACAAATGTGCAGATTCCTTAAGAGACTGGCCAGGATAGTGGATCTTTAATAAACCTTGTCTCTGGCTGAAAGAAGGCTTGGGTTGAATTCATTCAGGCAGGACTCGCTTGTCATGATTTTGGGGTCCCAGCAGCCTAAACTTCTAGACCTCATCAACCCTGGCTTAGAAACATGCCCTTCCACTGCAGCCTGTCCATGTTCTTCCCTCTTCCTCCTCTTGCTTATCTGGAATTCGGCAGGATTTTATTTGGGGGGGAAAATCCCTTTCCTCCTCTCCCGGTAGGGAAGTGTAATTTTAAGTAAACAGCTCTGTAAAGCAGAGTGGAAAGATCTGCAGAATGGGAAGTCAGGAGACATGAGTTCCAGTGCCCACTCTGATACTGACTACAAGTAGCAAGAGTACGATTTATTTCACGTGGTGGTTAAAAAGAAAAAGCTTTGAAAATCAAGGGAAAGACCATGATTGGAGTCAGAGGACCTGGGTTCAAATCTACCTATGCTTTGCATCACCTGTGTGACCCTGGGCAAGTCATCGGACCTCCCTTGCCCTCAGTTTCCCTCATCTGTAAAATGCAGAGAATCAATGAGGGGCTCCTGACTTTATAAAATGAGCACCACAGGATAATAGATTTGGAGCTGGTAAGGACTTCTGAAGCCACTGAATTCACCCCCTTCATTTTACATATGACAAAACTGGCTATCCATCTGTATAAAGTCATCTTCCCATCCTATTGAATCACCCACCTGGCTTTCCTTTCTCTATTCTACCTCCAAGAAACTTTTTCCTACAGACTCACAGAGCTCCTAAAAAGCTAAACTAAAAAAGATAAACTAAGCCAATTTTTTTCTTGTCATTGTTGAAAATAGATGCCATAAATATCCTGACAGTGGAAAGTTGGGTTGCCATTTTTAATTCAGTAACAGATTAAATGCACACTTCTTTCTTAAAGAGGAAAAGAAAAAAAGAAAGAAAAAGATGCTATATCCTGAATCCAGGGAGAGAGCTTGGATGCATTGAACACTGCTCTTCCTACAGACTGCCACTGATGAACCCAATAGAATTTGCTAATTAAGAAACATGCATGGTCTTTTTCCTTGCATGTGAATGTGTTCCTGTATTTACTGCATAATAGAGAGTCTGAGCCACTCAAGTGCTCCCATCTTTGGTTCTAAGAGGGAAGAAATAGGCTACCTAGGGCCCAGGTTCAGAGGAGAAAACCTGACTTTGAACATTTCTTTAAAAATCACGGGCCTTGTACCGAAGATTCGGACAGGCCTGGGGTTTGGGTTTTCCTTTCCATCAAGTTATTCAACTATTGTGTGATGTCAGGGGAAGGAAGAGAGAAAGGTTGCAACTGTGGTGGCAAAAGCAAAGCATTCCCTATCCTCTAGAGTTCTAATAAGAACAAGTAGGTCTATCCCATTACTATAGGCTTCCATCCCATTTATGTCTTAAGACAGATAGGTAAGACAGGAAGCAATTTGGTTTAGAGACGGAGATCCCAAAGTAGGAACACTGTTATCCAAAGGAGAGTTGGATAGCTTGAGGCTCCCTAGGGGCTCCTTCAGAGGCCTCACCAGCACTGTGGGTCCCTTCGATGGTCCTTCTAAAGTCTCTCTGTCTTTAATGTTTCTTTTGATGGAATCAATCTCTTCTGAAGCCCAGGAGGAGGAGAAGGGAAGCACTCAGTCCACAGTTGTGTAGGCCTTTAGAGAAGAAGGTGGGCCTTTGTTCTCTCCACTAAGGAGTCCTCTGTCTTACTCCCACTTCCCTATGGGCTTCACATCCAGAAGTCCTGGGCATCATTATACCTTTCAGAGGCAAGATTATTTGCTTTCATTTCGTTATTCCTTTGTGGAAAGGAGAGCCCAACAACGTAACACTATGAGGAGGCTTCCAAAGGGACTGCTGATGAAAGCAGACGCCCAAACATTACCAGTTACTCCAAGACCTCAGGTTCCTGTTGCTACCGAATAGTAAAAATTGTAGGATGTTTTTCTGTGGAGGGAACACCATTCTTTGCAGCTTCACTCAAGCTCTCCACATCCAATCAGCTGCCAATTCTCATCTGTCCTAGCTTCCCAAACATCTCTCTCACCTGTCCCATCGTCTCCACAAAGAACAAAACCATGCTAGTTCAGGCCTTCGATGCCTCTCATCTGGCCTGTGGCAACAACAGGTTCCTAACTGCCCACCTGGGCCTCTAGTATGTCCCCTCTCTGGTCTGTCCTCCTGCCAGCAATCCCAATGATCTTCCTAAAGCACGGGCTGACCCCATCGCTCACTGGAGAAGCTTTGGGAGCTCTCTACTGCCTGCAGGGTCAAACGCAGGCTCCTCTGGTCACCATTTAAAGCCCCCTTTCACTCCTGTCTATCTACAGAGGATAAGCACACACTATTCCCCTCAGCATTACAAGTTCCAGGCAAACTGGCTTATCTGCTGTTCCCTGGGGAAGACATGTTCTTCTGTGGTGTCCCTTCTGACCTTTCCCCTTAGTTCAGCTCACATGCTTCCTCCCATAAGAACCCTTTCCTGGTTCCCCAGTTGCTAGTGCCCCTCCCCTAATTAATTTATTTTTTTTGGTAGGGCACACTGCCGAGGCTGGCAGATGGCTGATGTGATGGTTAGTATGGCTGAACTGCCTTTTGTGGTTATAAGATATGATTTTCTGGGGAGAAGGATATAGTTAGAAATTAAGGTTTATTCAAAAATGTGATACATCAATACAAATAAAATAAATTTGTTAAACTGAATTGCTTTGAAGGTCCTAATTCTAAGCCTGACCCTGGAGTCCTTTGGGCTAATTCACCTTACTTTTTCCTCTCCAGCCTTAGGCAAAGTCCCTGATTTAGGATCCCAAATACACTAGGTTGTGGCTAGTGGTAAAAGACCTCCTGGCTAATTGGCTGGATTCCTTAGTATTGTCCGTAAGGGGCAAAGGGGTGCTATCCCTAGTTCCAACATTTGACTTCAAAACATCCTACATATTCTCATTCTCTTTCTTTCTCTAATTCTCTGTCTCTCATTCTCTTTCTCTCCTCAGTTTTTAGGCAGCCCTGGTTTTCTCAAAAACACTTCAGATTTCTACCCCACCCATCATCAAAACTTAATTCTCTTAAGGACCGAAATCTCTCTCAAAACATTTAATTCAGCAATTTACAATGTATACAATTTACAATGTATACAAGACTCGAGTTACCTTCCCAATTCGAATTTACATTTACATCAGCATCCTTCCACCTTGGCCAGGATGGTCCCCGTGGGCTACCGATAAATGTTTTCAAATACTCAAGACCCCACATTTACATTCCAACACACAGTGTGCACGCCGAAGCTGGGGAGAATCCTTGGATTTCTGAATCACTTTTAGGAAAGGGGGATATTTAGTCACTTGACACACTTTGCAGAGAAAAGGCTTATACTTAGGAAATGTTTGCGGTAGCAAGTGGCCCTTTCTTGGTCTTTGAGAAAGTGGCTGCGTAGTATTCCCATTGCAGTGGCCCATGTCTATGCTCCTGAGGCCAACATGCTAACTGCTCTAAGTCTTTTACTGGGACCTCCCTCCTATGATACCTATGCTGAAAAGGAACATTTACCCTTACAGGTCACCTGTCTCACTCCTCTCTTTGCCTCAACCCCTTCTTAAAACCCACCCTCCCAAGGGGGACCACTCTCCCTTAATGTGTTCAATGAGAGCTGCCGGTTTTCTATACCTTGGGGGGCTGTGAGTCACTTCCTCTCCTCCCATCTCATTCTAAATCCTATAGCTAATGACTCACTCAACACCTCATTCAACCTCCCACTACTCCTACCATCACTGCTCCCATATACTGACACCCCCACGTTCCTTCTTGTATTTTCACTCTTGGCACTGTCACTTCTCCACAACCCTCACCCCTCCCTAGTTTCTGCACCTCGGAAATATCAAACCATTATTATGATATTCTTTGGTCTTAGCTCATCTTCTCTGGCTTCAATATTGTCAACTTTTTCCTATAACTACCTAGTCCCAGACACCACAACTCTCCCCTACTCCCGAGGTAACCTAAACCTGCAAACCTTATTGTACAGATGAAAAAACTACGGACCAGAAAGTTTATGTAATTGATCAAGACAGGGGTTTCAAATCAGATAAAAAGGTTGGGAGGTAAGTAAATAGGAATATGGGTAGGTAGAGTAATGATAGCTGATAATGATGACTGATATAGATAAATGATAGGTAGATAAAAGGGTACATAGATATAGTAGTCACAAATAGATAAGTAGATAGAGCTTATTCAGTGCTTACTATGTGGCAGCCACCTTGCTGCCACATAGCTGAGGGAATTGGAGATCTGACACCATGAAGTTGGCGGTAAATGTGGGCAATCAGAAATGGTGAGCCCATCACATGCTAGTTCAAGATCCAGCTTTCCTGACTCCCTGCCCAGGGCTAGTTCGAGGAGGCCGTAGCAATTCTTCTTTAGAATCTATTGCTGTCACTCTTTCTCCTTGCTACTTAATTAAAGTGCTAATTAAACTCTTAAGTGCTATACCTTCCTGACCTTGGCAATGCCAGGAAGTATTCCCAGTAGTGTATAATGCCCTGGGAAACTAACTATATGGGAAATCCTTTACCTTGCCCACAAATCATTCTAGAATGGCAGATTCAGGGGGGCAGCAGCGTTAAAGGAAGACTGAAACCAAAGACCTTTTCTTTTTCTATATGGCTTCCCTGTTATCTCATCCCTGTAGATATCATCCCCTTCCAGCAGGCTGCCTCCTTAAGCAGACCAGTCTTGGGGTCAGCAGGAGAGAAAGTGGCCAGGCTTCCTGAGACGTGAGGAAGGGTCTCTTGGTTCTGAAGGTCCCAAGGAACTCCAGTGTCAATTACAAAACCTTGTTTATTGGGTCCACAGCAAATTCATACCATCTGACTCAGCTGTCCCCTCATTCTTCCAATTTTCTCTTGTTTAATCCCCACCTCATGCTCCTATAGGAGCTATTTCTGACTTTCTTCATTCTCCTTAAACTCCCAATGGCACTCCCTTTCCCCATCCAGTCCCCGTTTCTCCATCGGTCAGCACATGATCAGCCTCCTACTTTGAGATGACCTGGGATTCAGCTTGCTCACCTTCCACATACTCCCCACTTCTTTCCTCCCTGTCCTTTCTATTGCTAACTCCTTCACCCAGGATAAACCAACCTCAGTGAATCGAGGGAATCAAAATAGCAAAAAAAACCCCAAACCCCCAAGTTCACGGAGCCCAGGTTAAGAACTCCTGCCTTAGACCCCGATAGGGACAGCTCAAGACCCTGAGCTTGGAGAGTCCTGGGAATAGCTGCACCCACAGGTGCCATCCTGGGATTCAACCCTTGTGAAGATATCTGTCTGAGAATCTCCACTGAAGACCCAGAAAAGAAAGCTCTCCCCATCAAAATTCTTGGCCTTGGCAAATGGTTTAACATCAGAAACAGATGTGGCTTCATCAGTGGACATGACATGAAAGAAGATGCATTACTACCATCAGCTCTGCTGCTGTATCTTAAAGACCATGCAGCCTTTCAATCTAGCTTGCTTCTGAAATCTCCTGGATGGGCTGTCTTCCCTTATTAGACTGTGAGCACCTTGAGAGCTGGGACTGTCCTGCTTTCCTATTTGCCTTGCCGGTGCCTTGCACATAGCCATTCATTCATTTATTCATTCTTCAGTCTCTTCTGGTACTCCTTCTCTACCCACAAACCTGCTCAGATCAACTATGTCCTTTTAACCCAGATACCTTTTCGAGGTACCAGGGAGGGAGAGCCAGAATAAGCATTTCCACAGCACCTACCAAGTGCCAGGCACTGGGTTTAAACCCTTTCATAAATAGTTATCTCATTTGATCCTGGCAAAAGCCCTGAGAGGCAAGTGCTACCCCAGACCCAGTCCTCCAGCCAAACACGGAGCAGAGGAGCTTTATCCTAAACTCATTAGGGGGCCAGGAGAGTGCCCTAGTTAGTTCTTTCTTTTAGGAATATCACCTTGGCTGCATTAATCGTGGGTGGGAGAGACCCTGTGCACTGAATAGGTCAGGGACAGAGAGATCTGTTAGAAGGCTACTGTAATAATCTAGGCAAGAGATGATAAGGTTCTGAATGAGGGCAGAGACTGGGTGAGCAGAGAGAAGACATATGCTGTAAAGGCAGAACTGCCTCAACTTAGCAGCTAACTGGATATGGGAGAATGAAGGAGAGGGAAGAGTTGTGGAGGACCCCAAGGCCTCAGAACCTGGGTGAAATGAAAGGGAAAGGAATAAGCTTTTTACATATTTAAAAAACATGTATACATTGTTATTAAAATATTTCTATTTTACCTACTATGTGCCAGGCATTGTGCTAAGCACTTTTAGAAATATCATCTCATTTGATCCTCACAACCCTATGAGGTAGGTGCTGTTATCCCCAGTTTATGGTTGAGAAAACCCAGACAAATAACAAGTGACTTGCCCAGGGTCACAAAGCTAGTAAATATCTGAGGCCCCATTTGAACTTGGGTCTTCCTGACTAGGGTGAACAAAAGCATTGTGGTGTATCAGAATAAGGAAGTTAGGAGGAGGTGGGGATTGTGCCAGAGATAGACTGAGTACTGTTTTGCATGTGTTGAAGGCCTAACTGCCCACACTTAGCGCCTACATTTTCTCACCACCTACTCCTTGAAATCTGACTCTTGCAGTCCTGCAATCTGCTGGAATTAATTTCTCCCAAGGTAACTAATGATTTCTTAATGGCCAAATTCAATAGCCTTCCTGTCCTCCTCCCTCTCCCCCCATCTTTTTCCTCTTAGATTTTTCTGCAGCATCGACAGTGTTGACAATCTACCACCTCCTTCTTTCAACATTCTCTTCCGGTGGTTTCTGTGTAACTAGATGGTCCTTTTTTTTCTCCCCCTTCCTACCTCAGCCCCAACAGACTCATTCCTTGGTCCCCCTTCTTCTCACCCCTGAAATAGACTTACCTAAAACTAACCATACAAAAAACAGGGTTAAAACAGTCTCTGTCCTAAAGGAGCTCACATTTTAATATATATGATATATATCTATATAATATTTTCCCCTTTGATTTTACTAACTGCCTTCCAGTTGCTTCTCTTGCTTCTGTACTGACTTCCAAATTTCAAACTCTGACCTCTCTTCTGAGCTCAGGTCCTGCTTTTCCAACTGCTAGGTGGATAATTTCCATTTGTATATCTAGCCAGCACCTAAAATATAAACATCTCCAAACTGCTGAGAGCTTTCCTATTTCCATTAATGGTGCCACCATTTTCTGCCCAGGAATGTCAGAGACTTAAAAGCTCCCCGGTCAGGTCCCAGAGGGCAGGGGCTATACGTGTCTCTCTCACCCCCCTGCCTAGCATAGGCCTTTTCATAGAGTAGTCAATCAATTAGCTGTGTGGTCTCTCCATCTCTAGGTTCCTATCTGGCCTCAGACACTAGCTGCAAAATGAGGATAACTGTACCTATCTCCCAGGGTTGTTAGGACGCTCAAATAAGATAAAAGCTTTATAGCACTAAATAAATGCTGATTATTACTACTGCTACTATTCTTATGATTGTGGTAGAGGTCTCGAAGTCCCTTCCAATTCTGAGATTCTATGACTGAGTGAATGAAATATTCAAGACCCAAAAATTAGCTGGAGGATAGTAAAAAGAGAATTGGATTAAGAGAGTGAGTCAGGAGACCTGGTTCTCTGAGGGTACTGACTAGCTATCTAGCCTTGGGCCTCAGTTTCTTCATTTGTAAAATGAGATGGTTGGACTACATGGCCCTGTCCAGCTGGGACAATCTCTGAGTCTACTCCGGAAAGGGAGGAGAAATAGGATTGGAGGAGAGGTTCAACAGGAGAAAGTGGATGGAGAAATGATGGAGGAGAGGGACCTAAGCATCCTTTAACTGGACTCAGAACCACATTAGTCAAGATGCTTGAGCCTTTTAAGTATCTACCAAGGGGGTGATGAGGGGTCCTTTTTCAAGACTGGGCTGGACTAGCAGGCTGGGGGTCCCCTCCAACTTTGAACATGAGCAACTGATCCTCCAAAGGGATCATAGCTATAATCACTGATTTCAAGATAGAAGGCACTAGACCTCATCTAATCCAATTTCATCTTACATATGAGGAAAGTGAGGCCCTGAGAGGTTACATGACTTGACCAAATTCAGAAATAAGTGTTCAGTGGCAGGTCTGGGATTCAAATCTAGAACCTAACTACCTATCTCATACTAGATGAAAGGAGGGGCCTTGAGAGGTCAGAGTGAGAGACACCTCAGCTTCAAGCCCTCCTACAGTGTGAAATGGACAATGAGGTCTGGCAGTGCAAAATAATAAGACCCAAGCCCCACCTATTCACTGGCAGAGAATATCGTACCCCAGAGGCTGAGAGGATGAGAGGAAGGAGCTTGCAGAGAGATGGAGAGGAGAGAAAACTGGACTCCATGGAAGAAAAGTCTGTTTCCTTCCATGGAGAGTGCTCACTCCAACTCAATGCTGGGCATTCCCCTCCTCATCCCCCTGGTTTGAAAACCGCGCCCTTTCTCTTCTAGGAATCTCAGAATTGGAAGGGACTTTGGAACCCTTTAGCACAATTCGCTGCTTGTCAATTCAGCCTCCATCCTAGAAGATCCCCGCCCCCTCCCTCATCCCCTCTCCACTTGCTCCCCACCCCTCCCACAGATTGTTCCTCTTCTCTCTCTCCTTCACTCCCTCCCCCCACCTGCTCCCGCCCCTCACCACATATTGTTTCTCTTCTCCTCCTCCCAGCCCCAGATCTGGGCCCCTAGCTCCTCCGTGACTGTGTTTCTGAAGTGGGAATAACTCCCCCTCTTTTCTCCCCAGAACGGACGGGCTCCTCCCCTCCCCCCAGGGGACTCTGAGGGTGGTGGGGTTTAGGATTTGGAGAAAAGCGGGTCAATTCCTCCTCCCATACTGCTTCCCTTCTCCCTGACCCCATCCTCAGACACCTAACATTCCCTTGAGACTCTCCCGGGACAGCCCAGACCAGTCCTGAGGGTGAGATCCTCCCTAGATTCAGTCCTAGGCTGCAGACTGAAAAGGGCTTGGGGAGCATCTGGAACGGGCCCAGTATTGGTCCATTTCCCTGGCCCTGTCTGTCATTGCAAAATGTCAGTTTACCTTCTGCACGGTTCAGAAGGGAGGGGGAGAAGAACTTGCATGTGATGACCCCGACTCCTCAAAACACACACACACACACACACTCTCTAGCAGAGACACTTGTATTACTGGGCTGTGCTGATTCCCTTAGAGAACTATCCAGCCCTCAACCGAACCCGATTTTGGGATGGGGATAACAAGCAGAATGCTGCCTGGGTTTTCATAAAATGGAATACTAGGTTGGGGGAGGGGGAGGTTTATTAGACTAGGCTTAGAAATGCATCCAAAGAATGCTGGCAGCGCGCCTTGTCATGCACAGGTTCCCCTAAATAGGAGGGGGGTCCGGTGAACGAACCCCCCAGGTTCTTCGGAACCAACATTCCTTCTGGATCAGGAGACCCCCCTAGAAGTTTCTCTAGCTCAGCTAGCTAATGTTGCTCTAGCCTACCACGTGAGGGCGTGCACTGTGTTAGTTACAACAAATTAAACCTGGGGCAATTCCCCCGCAGAAACCCCCCGGGACCGGGAGTGGGGTCAGCTTTCAGAAGGGCACTCTTCTCTCCCCGAGGCCCGGCTCCGATCCTGGGGACAGGGATGCAAGGAGACGATATTCACCCTGAAACAGGGCGCCCCCCTCCTCTCCCTCTCCCGGAGCATAGGGTGCGCCCTTTTATTTCCCTTTTCGGGGTTCTTCCCAGTCTCAGGCGGCCCCCATCTGGGCGCAGCCCGGTCAAGCACCGTCCGCACAACGCTTTTCCCCCAACACTGGGTCCCGAGCGGCGTGGTCCGGGGAGATAAAGCCCTAAGAAGGGACTCCAAGAAGCACAAGTTGGTGCTGGCCCCGGACCAGGCTGTTGTTGTTCTCAACGTGGTCCGCCACCGAGCAATATAAGTTGCGCACAGGAGCCCGCCCAGCTAAATCCCGGCGTTCACACACTTAAGCGAGAGCGTCGCTATAGGTTCATCCCCAGCCCCAACCCTGGTACCCAGCGGCAGAAAAAGCAGCGGCCCCGGCCTCGCGCTGTTGCAAGCCGGCTCCTTCTGCGCTCGCCGCCCCCCTTCCCCGGAGCGCCAGGCTCCCATCGCCTTCCTCTTCCCCTCCCGACCCCCCGGCTTCCGCGCGCCGCCGGCCACTAACCCGCTCGCCACCATGTCCGTAGAACTGGAAGAAGCGCTGCCCCTGACCCCGGCCGAGGAGGCTCCCGACGCCCCCGAGAAGAAACCGGCCAGCAAGAAGGCCAAGGCGGGCTCGTCGTCGCTGTCGCCCTCCAAGAAGAAAAAGAACAACAAAAAGAAGAACCAGCCGGGCAAGTACAGCCAGCTGGTGGTGGAGACGATCCGCAAGCTGGGCGAGCGCAATGGCTCATCGCTGGCCAAGATCTATAACGAGGCCAAGAAGGTTCCTTGGTTCGACCAGCAGAACGGGCGTACCTACCTCAAGTACTCCATCAAGGCCCTGGTGCAGAACGACACGCTGCTACAGGTGAAGGGCACGGGCGCCAACGGCTCCTTCAAGCTCAACAAGAAGAAGCTCGAGGGCGGCGGTGACAAGAAGGGCTCGGGCTCGGCCGCCTCGCACCACAAGGCCAAGAAGGCCACGGCCTCGGCGTCCGCCTCGGCGCGGCGGAGCGACAAGAAGCCGGCCAAAGCCAAGAAGCCCGAGAAGCGGTCCCACAAGAAGGGCGCTGGCGCGGGGGGCGGAGGGGGCAGCGGTAAGAAGGACAAAGGCAAGGCCAAGAAGGCGTCCTCGTCCGGGGGAAAGAAGGTGAAGAAGTCGGCTAAGCCCAGCGTGCCGAAGGTGCCCAAGGGCAGGAAGTGAGGGAGCCGGGGCCCAGGTGGGGGAGGAGGAGGCAGACGAGATGCTCCGGGGCGCTAGGGCTGCCCAGCCGGGGGAGGGGGCGGGGTGCTCGCCCCGCTCTTCCCCGCCTCCGTCTCTACTGCCCCCTAGTTTTTCCCCCCGCCTCCGCTCACCCTGCGTTACCCAAGCTGTGACAGTCGCCACCCACCGAGTGCTCTCCCTCCGCCATGAACTGAGCGAGCCGACCGGGGACCGAGATCGGGTGGAGAGGCTCTGACTCGCCGCCCAGTCGCCAAAATGGTTATTTTTGTAGCGATTTGCTCGGGGGTGGGGGAGGGGACTTTTTTTTTTTAAGCCCTTTGTGTAGGTTTTGTACTGTTTGTTTACAGGGCAGCCCCAGGACTCTGTCCCGGCCTGAACCTCGGGGGTCCCGGGGACCGGGGGGGGATGGGATGCGGGGACGTATCCGGATGCCTTTCTGAGTTACCCTCCCACAGCTTAGCCTTTTCCCATCCCCGCCCCCGGCTGCAGTAGCTATTTTTTTGTTGTTGTTTGCTTTAGAATTTTGAAACAGCCTCGGCGACGCCCCTATTGGCTCTCGCCATTGGCAACAGGACGGTCGCCATGGCGACGGGTCCTTGGGCTCCAATTGTTGGAGCCTGCGCGCGCGCGGGGGGGAGGGGGGAGGGGCGGGCGAGGCCGCTGGTTGGCTGTGGGTCTCCTGGCGCTCAGAGAAGGGGTGGGACGGCTGGGGAGGCGCCCCACCTTTCTCCCCCGGGGCCGGGCCCGCGCCCCTCCGCTCCAGGGCGTGGGGGCTGGGGTGATGGGGACCAGGGCTCCCCGCTGATGTGTGGGGGCCCGGCAAGAACTTGATGCCTTTTGTGCGCAGTGTACAATCGCTCGGGGCCGTGGCCTCCCCGGCACGGGGCCCTCGGCGCTTTCACTTGTCCTCGTTGGCCTTTTCTATTTTTTTTTTTTGGCTCAATAAATTGTTTAAACATTTGGTCTTGCTGTCTGTTTGGCCGGCCGAGCTGGGGTGGGAGCGGGGCAGGAGGGTAGAAGAGACACCCAACGGGCGGGGGGGGGGGAGAGAGTTCGTTAGCCCCCGACCGCGCATGGACCCTCGGCTCTGCCTCTTAGCAGGATGGAAAGAACCAGTCCTTGCCCCCGAGAGGGTCCAGTTTTTCCCTTCCTCTTTGTTGGGAATACCCGGGTCTTGGCCTGAAGAGAGCCCGTACCCCCCACCCCTTTTTCCAGCATACTGCCATGACAGCCCCTCATTTTGGGGACGGGGCGCTGTTAAGAACGTCGGCGAAACGGGATTCTGGAGCGGCCCAGAGTCCCGTCCCTGCGCCCGTTCCAAGTGCGCATCCGCTGGCCCGGGTTACCTTAGAACTTAACCAAGCATGGGACGGGCCGCCAAGCTGATTCTCCTGGTTTTAGGCAAACTTGTCTTTAAATCTTTAAATCTTCCAGACACAAGTGAGAGCGGTCAAAAGTAACGTTTTGTTTAAAATGCATGAAATACACCTCCGAAGATTTCCAGAGAATAAGTGAGAGCAGTGGGGAAAAAAGGCCTGGGTTTAGTGGGAGGAGTTAAATCGTTCTAGCAGTCAACAGTTTAAATTAAAGAGGTTGGTCAAATGAATGTCTGGACTGGTTGGTTTCAAAGTTATAAGGCACCCTCTGTCCAGCAAGTCCAACTCAATAGTGGAAAAAATCCCCAGCCCAGCATTCCTGGCGAGTGATCATCTAATTCAGCCACTGATGGCAAAGTTTCTAGCAAGAGGATTTATCTTAAAACAGCCCCATTCCACTGTGGGAGGCTCTCCTTGCATTTTGTCTGATAATAAACCTAAATGTGCTTCTGCAGCTTCTCCCTGTGGCAAAGAAGACAAGCAGAATCTTATTTTCCATCTGAAAGTCTTTCAAAATATTAAGAAAGCTATCAAGTTGACACTGAATTTTATCTTTCTCCCAAGATAATCCCAGTTCCCTTGTGAAGCCTCAGCTGACAGGCAATCCATTGGCTGCTCCATCACACTACTGACCGACTCATTGAGCTTTCTGGCCTCTAAAACCCCCCAGATCTTTCTCTGGCACTATCGTCTTCACATGCTTCCCCTAAATTACGGTGTGCTTGTTAAGTCCTTTAAAAGAAAACCCTCAAGTGTAGGGTTTTACCATATCCCTACTGGGATTACCTTTTTTTCAGATTAAAGCTAATACTGGTTCTATCCTGTCAAGACTTTTTTTTTTTTTAATCCTATCGTGGAGTATATTAGCTATCCCTGCTGCCCTGGCCCCGCCCCATCTGCAGAGTTGATAAGGATGCCACGCCCTAAGTCACAGATAAAACAAAACTCAAAGACTCTTAACCAGTAGGGAGCCAAGCTCAGCTTCCTGGGGCTCTCCCTTCCAGAACTTGATGAGCCGCAGACTACAGTAGTGAATCTGGACATTCAAGTTCCTAACCTTTTTCTACGAGAACAGTATAGGGTATTTTTAAATTAAAAATGCTTAAATTATGTAACATTTCTTTGATAGAAATTTAGGAAGGTTGTCAAAAATAGGTTAGTCTGGCATGATGTATTCTTGAAGTCGTGCCTAGCTCTTCCAGAGTTTTGTCCGCTGAGGATTGAAACGGGTTTGTAGACCTCTGCCTTCTTTTTTTTGGAAAGTCCCGATAATGTTTTCGTCCTCCAGGCTTGTGGCGCTTCTATTATCTACAATCTTTCAAATATTACTGACATTTTAAATGTCCCTGATCTTAGGACGATTTTTGCGGGAGAAGAGGGTGAACAAATGAGCAACCAGAAAGTTTTCACTTTGCCCAAGGGATGGGACCCAAAAGTTCCCCTCCTGGTTGTCTGGAGAGAAGGCAAAGTAGCAATATGACTTAAGCCCTTGCCTAGTAAGGCCTTTTTCTTACAAGTACAAGACACTCTAAATTACTTCCTAACTTGAAACTATCAGGTTTTTGGCCTGATTCCCAGAATCCTCCACTTTCTTCACAGCTCTCGAGGTAGGCTGCTCCCATCTCGACCTGGTGACCCATCAGCTCAAATTCAACATGTCTAAAGCCAATTTTTAAGTAATTGGTAAGTATCTCATCAAATAAAATATATGTATTTTTTAAATTACCTTTAGCAGAAATAGGGAAGTTCGGAAGAGAGATGGGTTTAAGAAGAAATTTCTGTAACAAAAACTAATGATCAATGTTGGTGGTTTTAGGGATGCTGAGTTTGTTGTGATGGCAGGACCTCAAATGCCCAATGGGTAGCTGGAAGGGCTGTGGTGGAGCCCAGAAGGAGAGGCAGGCTAGAAATTCAGCTTGGGAAGTCATTGAAATGGGGGTGAGCTTAGTATTTTGGGAAAGCCCTTAAAAGTCCAAGACTATCAAGATGAATCTTCATTTCTCAAGGCTTGTATGTGGTAGGTGTTTAATAAATAATTGTTCTATTTGCTGAGCATACATAGATGTAGCATACTGTGTTAGGACTATGGAGAAAGAAGGATAGATAAAACACAGTCTCTGCCTTCAAGAAGCTTACAGCTTTGACTAAATGACATAAACACAAGTAAATATAGAGCAGAATGTGAGAAGGATGAAGAGGTATGTAAGTAAGGCTCCCCAAGAGGAAGAACAGGTATTCTTCTGATTGGCAGTTTCATGACAGAAGTGGCACTGGGCATTAAAGGATGATGAGGGTGGTGAAGTGGATAGAACACCAGCCCTGGCGTCAGGAGGACCTGAGTTCAAATCTGGCCTTAGACATATAACACTCACTAGCTGTGTGACCCTGGGCAAGTCACTTAATCCCATTGCCTGGGGGAGGGGGGGGAGAAGGATGATGAGGATTTCAACAGGCCTGTCCAAGTGGAGTCCAGAAGGTAAATAGCACCTGAAGAGGATTTATAATATGGTCAGGTTGGTAACAAAGGTTAAATATTGACCATTATAATGGGTAGTGGAAATGACTTTGGGATAGTCTTTCATTGAGGCAAATAGACAACTTGATCAAAAAGACCCCAGGAAGGTCTGCTACCACATACACAAAGCTGGTTCATCATCTGGTAAATTGCACAGTTCTGATATGGCCAGGGTGGTGGGATTCAGCAACTGAGGAATGGAGTAAGGAATGAGAAGAATCAGCAACATTCTGGAAGAGGAATGGAATGGTGGGTCGCTTACTCCTCAGTGATCCTCCAGGTTCAGGTGAAAGGGAAGATGGACCCCGGATTGGTTAAAAGCCCAAGACTGGCTGTGCTGGAAACCAACCACTCCTTCTCAGTGTCCTTCACTGGGTCCTCATCTAGATCACACCCTCAGGGTTCTGTACTGGGTGCTCTTCTCTCCCTCTTCTATACAACTTCACTAGGTGATCTCAACAGCTCCCGTAGGGTTAATGACCATCTCTATGCTCGCTAGTCTCAAATCTACCTGTCCGGCCTCATCTCTCTAATAACCTCCAATATCACATCTCCAACTACCTTTCAAACATCCCAAAATGCCCAGTTGGTATCTCAAAGTAAACATATCCAAAATGAAACTCATTATCTTTCGCCTAAATCACCCTGTCCCACAAAACACACACACAGACCCACAGAGATAGAGACACACACACAGAGCTTCCCTTTTGCTAAAAGAAGGCAACACCACCCTCCCAGTCCCTCAGGCTCACAACCTAGGAGTTATCCTAGGGTAACCTAGGCAATGCTCTCACCTCCCATATCTATTCTGTTGCCAAGGCCTGTAGGTATCACCTTTGCAACATCTCTTGAATACAACCTCCTCTCTCCTCTGACACCATCACCTCTCTAGTGCAGGCTCTCATCAACTCCCACCTGGAGTATTGCAATAGTCACTGGTGAGTCTACCTGCCTCAAGGCTCTCCTCCTCACTAAAGTCCGTCCTCCACTCAGCCACTAAAGGGATTTTCCTAAAGGGCACATCTTACCATGTCATCTCCCCTATTCAATAAACTCCAGGGGCTTCCTCCAAAATCAACTATAAAAATGCTTTGATTGGAATTTAAAGCCCTTCATTACTTAGCCATCTCCTACCTTTCCAGTCTTCTTACACCTTACTCCCCAACAGGTACTCCGCTCCAGTGACGCCGGCCTCCAGGCTGTTCTACAAACAAGACACTCCATCTCTCATCTCTGGGTATTTTTTGGTACATCTCCTGTCCCTACAATGCTCTCCCTCCTCCACTCCTACTACTGACCTCCTTAGCTTCCTTTAAGTCCTAACTGAAATCCCACTTTATACAGGAAGCCTTTCCTAGCCCCTCTTAATTACAAAGCCTTCCTTCTGTTAATTATTTCCAACTTATTCTGTACACAGCTTGTTTTGTATATATTTGTTTGCAAGTTATCTCCTCCCATTAGATTGTAAACTCCTTGAGGGCAGGGACTTTTATCTCTTTTTGTATCCCCTGCTTTTAGCATAGTGCCTTGCACTTAGTAGGCACTTAATAAATGATTGATTGAAATTTCTCAGATCCTTGGGCAGCAGCAAGAAGTCCCCGGAGGGAGTGGGAGTGGGATATAGCTAGTGTGAGGCTGGGAATAGTATCATCCCTCTCTGAGTAGTTAGTACATCTCCCCAAAGGGGAACACTGTGGAACTAGATGAGAGGAGGGAGAAATCTTTTCTCTGTGAGGAATGAAAATGGAAACACATTGAGGTTGCTGTGGAACCCACTATGGTCCTTTCTTGGATGAAAAACACTCTTTAGGAGCAAAGATTCCCCCTTCCAAAGCCTGTGTATAGGGCAAGCTTTCCTCCTGTACAATAAAATGCCAGTACAGGGAACTGTGAACTTAAATCATTTTTTTTTTGCACTTAATAGTATTTTTTTTCCAATTACATGTAAAAATAGTTTTCAACATTCCTTTTTGTAAGATTTTGAGTTTCAAATTTTTCTCCATCCCCCTCTTCCCTACTGTCTCCCCAAGACAGCAAGCAATCTGATATAGGTTATACACGTACAATCATGTTAAACATATTTTCACATTGGTCATGTTGTAAAAGAAAAATCAGAAAATGGAAAAAAACACAAGAAAGAAAAAGAAAAGTGAAAATAGTGTGCTTCGATCTGCATTCAGACTCCATAGCGCTTTCTCTGGATGTGGATAGCATTTTCTATCAGGAGTCTTTTGGAATTGTCTTGGTCATTGTATTGCTGAAGAGAGCTAAGTCTATCTAATCATCGCACAATGTTCCTGTTACTATGTACAAAGTTTTCCTGGTTCTGCTCACTTCACTCAGCATCAATTCATGCAAATCTTTCCAGGTTTTTCTGATATCTGCCTGCTCATCATTTCTTTTTTTTTTTAATTGTTTTCACCCCCCTCCCTCCCCAAGGCGGCACACAATCTGATATAGGCTATACATATTCATTCCTATTAAACATTTTCACATTAGTAATGTTGTAAGGAAGAAATAAAACCAATAGAAGGAATCACAAGAAAGAGGAAAAAAAACAAAATGGAAGAAAAAAATAGCAAATAGCAAGCTTCGATGTGCATTCAAACTCCATAGTTCTTTCTTTGGATATGGAGAGCATTTGCCATCATGAGACCTTTGCAGATGTCTTAGATCCTTGCATTGCTGAGAAGGGCTAAGTCTATCAACATTAGTCATTGCACAAACATGGCTGTTACTGTGTACAGTGTTCTCCTGGTTCTGCTCACTTCACTCAGCATCGATCCACACAAATCTTTCCAGGTCTTTCTGAAGTCAGCCTGCTCATCATTTCTTCTAGCACAATAGTATTCTTTTACATTCATATATCACAACTTGTTCAGCCATTCCCCAATTGATGGGCATTCTCTCAGTTTCCAATTCTTTGTCACCACAGAAATAGCCACTATAAATATTTGTACATGTGGGTCCTTTTCCAATTTGTATGATCTCTTTGGGATACAGCCCTAGAAGTGGTATTGTTGGGTCAAAAGGTATGAGCATTTTTATAGCCCTTTGGGCATAGTTCCAAATTGCTCTCCAAAATGGCTGGATCATTTCACAATTCCACCAACAATGCATTAGTGTTCCAATTTACCACATCTTCTCTAGCATTTATCATTTTCCTGTTTTGTCATGTTGGCCAATCTGATGGGTGTGATTGGTACCTCAGAGTTGTTTTGATTCGCATTTCTCTGATCAATAGTGATTTAGAGCATTTTTCTCATATGACTATAGATGGCTTTAATTTCTTCATCTGAGAACTGCCTGTTCATATCCTTTGACATTTATCAATTGGGGAATGACTTGTATTCTTATACATTTGACTCAATTCTCTATATATTTTAGAAGTGAGGCCCTTATCAGAGATACTGGTTGTAAAAATTCTTTCCCAGTTTTCTGCTTCCCTCCTTTCTTCACAGCACAACAGTATTCCACTACACTCATATACCACAACTTGTTCAGCCATTCCCCAATGGATGGGCATCCCCACAATTTCCAATTCTTTGCCACCACAAAAAAAGCTGCTATGAATATTTTTGTACATGTGGCTCCTTTTCCCTTTTTTATCTTTGGGATACAGACCTAGTGGTTGTACTGCTGGATCAAAAAGTATGCAGTTTTATAGCCTTTGGGGCATATGTGAACTTGACTCTTGCATAAGGTATGGCTCATAGAGCTCTGGGAACCTTACTTGAGGAGAAGCAACTGTGCTTTGGAAGCTAGGAGGTGAAAACATTGTCAGCTGACAGAACACTTGTCAAGATGAGAGCCCTCATTAAGGACAGAGAAAAAAGAGGTGTGGACTAATAATGTTGTGAGAGGCTAAGATATCCGGTGGAAAGACTTGAGTGCTGCCACAAAGCATTAAAAGAACCAGAGGAAGGCATATGGTAGCTTGGCTAGAACATCTACGGAGGGTTTACTTTGGTTTTTTGGGGGGAGGAGAGGGGTTGGTTTGGTTTGGTTTTTTTTCTTTTTGGTGAAGCAATCAGGGTTAAGTAACTCGCCCAGGGTTACACAGCTAGTAAGTGTTAAGTGTCTCAGGCTGGCTATGAACTCAGTTCCTCCTGATTCCAAGACCAGCTCTATCTGATGCACCACCTAGCTGCCCCTGTCCTTCATTCTTTTTTTTTTTTTTTAGGCAATTGAGGTTAAGTAACTTGCCTAGGGTCACACAGCTAGTAAGTGTCAAGGATTTGGTCTGAGGACAAATTTGAACTCAGGTCCTCCTCACTTCAGGGCTGGTGCTCTGTCCATTAGGCCACCTAACTGCCCCCTCTGTCCTTCATTCTTGAAGAGGACCAATGACATCCTGAGGGTGACATCTTGATTTTCAAGTGAATAGGATTCAAGAGAGGCAGAGCTGCACAAAGTAGTCAGTCTGGCTCTCTCTTCCAGTCATCAGAGTCCATTCAGGATCAAGACACAAGTCAAGACAATTGCAGAGGGTTTGAAAGAAAGAGATGAAAAGATACCTCCTTCTACTCCTCTGTAAAGAACGTGGAATACTGCGTCGAATTTCCAGTTGTTGGTTTTTTTTACTGTATTGATTAGTTTTGCTGATTTTTTTCCTCTTTTTTTCTTTAAAAATATTCTTTGTTATATGGGGATGGTTGGTGAACCAGGTAAGGGGTAAGGGTCAGCAACTGAGAGAGAAATTTAGGTGATCTTTAAAACAAAAGAGATCAATAAAATGTAAATTTAATTTTAAAGAGAGAGAAAAAAATTAGATTTGATGAATTATATAATCCTTTTGTTCTTAAGGAAGAACCTTGAAGGAAATCACTGTACAGATGTAAATACCTTAAATTAAGTACCTGTGAAAACCAAAACTCTTTCCTTGCAGTTCATAGAAACCACAGTCCCTCCCTTCCATTCCACTTCATCCTTCATCACGTTGCCAGGATTATCTTCATTGGCACTGAATGTGCTTCTGTTTTTATATCTCCTAGCACACAGTCTGACACACTGGGTGTTTAACAAATTCGCACTGAATGAATGATTGTCACTTCTGGGGTCACAGGGCTTCAATGACTCTTATTGCTTACCTATAAAATAGAAACTCCTTACCTTGGTATTTAAAGCCCTCGGCAGTCTCCCACTTTCCTGCATTTCTAGCCTTAGCTCATACCACCCCTCCCCTTCCTCTATCTTGTCCCTTCTGCACATCCTCTTTGTCCATAACTCTGCTCATGAGGTCTCCTGTGGAACACGATTGTTCTAATCTCCACCTTTTGAAATGCTACCTAGCCTTCAAAAGGCCCAACTCACCTGTCCTGTCCTTCATGGAACACTCCATCATCCCCCTTTTCAGTAACCATCCCCTGTTTCCCACCCACCCCCATAACCTTGCATAGCATGTGGTTTTTATCTCTTCTGCATACGATATTCTTCATGATATGGTTAATCTGAAGATATGCTTGCTTTCTAGGTGATGTTTCATCAGGACAGGGACCTTGTCCCATTTAATCTTTGCATCTTCCCCAGCTCCTCTCACAGTCCTTTTGCACAGAGTAAGCACCTATTCTCTGTCGGTAGAAGCTGTTGCTGGATGGCTGGCTTAATAGGACACATAGTTCTTCTGTGGTCAACATTCAACATTTATCAAGTGCCTACTTTTTGCCAGGCACTGTGCTTAAGAATCAGGGATACAATAATTTTACCAAAAAAAAAATAGTTCCTTCTCTCAAAGAGCTCTTAGTCTATTGGGCGAGACAACAACATTCGAACTACTATGTGCAAACAACATACAGAGAGGATAAACTGGAGATCATCACAGAATGGAGGCCTTGACATTAAGGGAGGTTGGGAAAGGCTTCTGGTAGAAACTGGAATTGTAGCCAGAACCTGAAGGCAGCCAGGAGGCAGAGACAGAAGGGGGAGAATTCCAGGCGCAGAGACAAGGGGTAAAAATCTCCAGGATCTCTCTCTCTCTCTCTGCCAACACAGAACTATTGCCTTTTTTTTTTTTAACTAGGGTCAATATAGTATGACTTAAAGCTGGGGATGGGAAAGATTCTTTGGGACCCAGCCTTCCAAAGGCAGAGCGGATTGGCTTCTCAGAACCAAAGGGAACCCCATATCCCCCATACCCTATTAGGCTGTGAGCTCTTCAAAGACAGAAGGACTGTGGGCCATGTCATTTTGATGTCCTTGGTGCTTAACACAGTGCCCCACACGTGGCAATAAATGTTTCTGGAGTTGATGTGGTGACAGACATCGGGAGATCCCAGGATTGAAGACCCAGAGGGGGAAGGGACCTCCGAGGTCCAAACCTTCAGAGAGATCCTGGGGATTTTTACTTCTTGCATGAATGGCTTGACAAAGTTACGTGAGTACTAAGTGGCAGAGCCGGGATTCAAATTTGGGTCCCATGACTTCAAGCCCTAGAATGCCTAGGAAGTAGGTTCTGGAAGGGCTTGAAGAACCCAACAGTCCTGGAATGGAACGATGGCACCTTAGAGGTGAAGGGTCCAACCTCCTTCCCCAGGCAGCCTGTTCGGATAGCTCTATTTGTTAGACAGAGGCAGTATGGCAATGCTGAAAGAACCGGTCCTGCCTTCACTGATTCCTGACTCTGACACTTACTGGTTGTGTGACCCTAGGCACATCACCTCTAACCTCTCTGCATCCTGGTGCAGAAATCCTCACCTGGGAATTCCCTATACTGAGGAAATCATTCCCAGTTCCCGTCCCCTCTTCTATTTGTAGGGAGTGTTTCCAATATCAAGCCTAAATCTGCCTGGCTTTGCCCTCTGAACAGCGGCCAAACTGAGCACCGGGAAGCTGGTCAGACTGTTCTTACGATTCCTCTGAACCTTCCCCAGGCTAAGGAAATTCAGCTCCTCTAACTGATGCCCACATGCCAATGAGGTCTTTCACTATCCTGGTAGCCTTCTTCTGGTGATTCTAGGTTGTCAATGTCCTTTTGAAAACGTATTGCCTGCAACTGCACACAATCCTTGATATACGAAGGTCCATTAAGAGCACAGTGGAGAAAGAACACTTCCTTATTCCTGGAAGTTATGCTCCTCAGTGGAATCCAAGATCACACTGCTCTTGTTGACTGTCCAATCATGCTGTTAATTTATGTTGTACTTGTTTCAACTGTATGATCATGCTGTTGATTTATATTGTACTTGTAGCCAATTAAAACCACTAGATCTTTTTCTTTTTGGGGGTGTGGGGGAGAGAGGCAATAAGGGTTAAGTGACTTGCCCAGGGTCACACAGCTAATAAGCGTCTGAGGCTGGCTTTGAACTCGGGTCCTCCGGGCCCAGTGCTCTAACCACTGCATCCCCTAGCTGCTCCTAGTTTTTTTCAAACGAACTACTACTTAAGCCATGATGTCCTAATCTTGGACTTGTGAAGTTTCTTTTTACAATCTGCATAAGATTTTACATAAGTTGCTATTTTCCCCTACAAGATTTCTTTACATTAGGTTCAGATGGATCTTCTCATCTATCAAGATTTCCTTGGATCCTGTCATCTGGCATATTAACTATCTCTCCCTGTCTCAGTGCTAACTGTGGTTAATTAGTTTGTACCCAAGACTTTCTCACACAAACTGTTATCCAACCAGATCTACTCAGTCTTGTATTTGTATGAAGAGAAGGTTGCCCAGTTCAGCTGAGACCTACATCATATGGAATACGAGAGAAGGCTAGAAAGACTGAGTGGTGCCAGGCAAGGGCTAGACTAGAGACCTTATGAAGGCCCTTTCAACCAAGGTTCTGTAACTTCACATTTATTCTTGACCCCTTCAATTTTTTGTTTGTTCCAGCCAATTTTCCTGTTAATTCTAGCATCTACTCCTCCTCCCAGTACTGTGACATTTACAAATCTGGTAAACCTTCCATCTTTGTTTTCATACACGTAAGACACTGATTAAATGATCAGAGGAAAGCCAGAGACAGAGGCCTGTGAATACCTCCAGAGAGGCATCATGATTACAGAAAATCATACTCTTTGGCTAGTCATTCAACATCACACAATCCACAGTTCTCCATCTCCAAGGATGTCACAAGAGACCGTGTCTGATGCCTGCCTGTAGGGAATTAAGGCATGTCATTTCCCTGATCTACCAGCCCCCTAACATCTTCAAGAAAGGGAACAAGGTTAGTTTGGCATGAGTCATTCTTCACAGACCTAGGGTGGCTCATAACAATTACAATTTGCTTTTTAAAGTACCAAAAACAATGGGTTTTTAAAAATTATTTTTAATAATGTGAACTTGACAAACTTCAACAACCAGTACAATTCATTACACAGACAGAAAAATAGGACCACATGTGAAATTTCAAATCTCCACTATTATACAGCTCAGTCTTTTTTGAATATCCCACACTTAACGTAGTAGTTCTAACAATGTTCTGCTTATCTCTGTCCCCTTCTGAACTTTCTTCTGTGTATTTTTAATGATTCATTTTCACTTTTCCTTCTTTTTTTAGAATCACAGTCACCTCCTTGTTCAACTCAAAATAAAAGTTACACATACAAGCACAAAACCCAAATCCACATATTGGCAATGTTTGAGGATGCAGGTCTTAATCTGCACCCTGAGTTTTTCCTGTCTTCCAGGAGGTGAGAAGAAGGCTTCCTCCTAAGGGGTCTGGCATCAAGGTGGGTCATTGCATTCACCAGAGTTTTCTACTCTTTCACCGTTGTCCTAGACAGTGTTGCGGTCATTGTAAAAACTGTTCTCCTGGTTCTGAGAAATTATCTTTTTATCAGTTCACTCAAGTCTTCCCAAGTTTCTCTGAATCTGTCCCTCCTGTCACTTCTTATGGCACGATAATGCCATTGCATGAATACACAATTGGTTCAGCCATTTCCCGTTGATGGGTGCTCACTTTTTTTCCAGTTGTTAGAACAAATAGTTGCAGCTTCAAATATTTCCTTTCTCTCTTTCATTCATCTTTTTGGGCACAGAAGCCTACTAGTACTATCACTAGATCAAAGGGTATACACAGTTCAGTGACTTTTTGGGGTATGGTTGTAAATTGTTTTCTAGAACAGCTGGACCACCTCACAATTTCACCAACAGTGCATTAAACAATCTTAGACCCTTAGATTTCCCCTCTCCCCCAAGGACTGATGTGAAATTAATCTGCTTCTAGAATCCAATCCCATGCACCCCCTGAATAAAATTAAACAAGGATATACAAATCTCAAACTTTTAGCCTTTCTTATATTCTCCAAGATTCCTGCCAGCAAGTCTTCAGTTAGTCTGTGATGTGACTGGTCAGGGCTTAGACCTTCTACAGCTAGGTGCTTTCTTATGTTAAAAGCCAAATAGGGTAGGGAGGAGGAGAGGCAGAGATTAATGAACACTCATGTAGAATCAGAAGCTGGACTAATTATTAACCACGTGACCATGGGCAAATCGAAATCTCTCCATTCCTCAGTTTATTCACATTTATTAGACGAGCACCTTGTAAAGGTAAAGTACTATATCAATGTGAACTAGGATTATTTTCTCATCTATTTGGTGGTCTCTATTCCCTCCCTCTTTAAGAACCCCTATATTTTAGGCATTGGGCTGGGTGCTTGGGGAAGTGAAGATGAAAATGAAGACTCTTTGCCTTAAGAGAGGTTATGTTCTACCAGCACAAACCACGTTCTACCCTTTTCAGCTGAAAAATCATTCTCTTCTCTGGGGGAGCCAGAAGAAGAATAGAAGTTAAGTAGGTCTGTTTTCTCTCTTCCCATGTTCACTTATCCAGCAAACATTACACCATCTGTCCCAAGCAAATGGGCCTGTTCCTCTTCTTGCGTCAACAAAGCCAGGAGAACCTCTGTTGTCCTTAACATTCCAAAACTTACTACATATTTTGCATGAACATATCTGTGTACAGGTTGCCTCCTGTCCCACATCCCCGGATCCCCATTTCGTGAAGACACAGGCTGTTGACTTTGGGTTTTTGCATCCTCAGTGCATTATGGCACACAGTAGGCATTTAATGAATATTTGTTCAACTGGATTTCTGGCTTTAGCCTTCTGGATACTACTCTCATATGCCATTCTAAAAAATATCTATCCCTGTTTACATTCCTTCATGTCCTAAAATGAGCTCTTTAGAGAGCTCCCTAAGCAACCAACTGGTTTCTACAGCTGCCTTCCACTTCTCATGAACATTTCAGGTTTTATAGACTTTCATCCTTCCATTCAACAAACACTCGTTAAGAATTGGCTAAGGCGCTGTACCAGGAAAGGGGAGCATAAAGAGAGAAAAAACACACTGGAGAGTCCAGTTAAATGTTACTACCTCTCCTCCTCCTCCTCAGCACTTCGGGTCTCCTTGCCTTCCTCCCAATACTTCATCTGAGTACCTATTTCTCCTTTAAAGCAGAGGTTCCTCACCTCTGTCATGGACCTCTTCTCAGAATAAAGCTCTTAAATGCATAAAATAAATAAGTAGGATTCACAAAGAAAACATTACATTATGTTATTTAAAAAAAGACCACCTAAAAACCAAGTTTCTGGATGCCAAATGAAGAACCCCTGCTTGAAAGCCTGATTCCAATGCCACCTCCTCCAGGAAGCCATCCCTGAAGACCTTTCCCCACTTTTACCTGACATAGTTTCATGTTGTCTTAGCCCTATTATTGACTCTAAGCACCACAAAAAATAGGAATCTGCCTCTTTTCTAAACATTGTATGGCTCTGGTCGAATGTGCTTAATATCTATTGAATTTCAACTAGAACAGCATTATTCCAGAGAATCTTCCTGAAGGACCTTTGATAAGCAGTTTTTTGTTTGTTTAGTTTTTTTAAAGTTTTTTTTTAAAAGAGTGGTTAACAGGCCCTGGTTCTGCAGGGGGCTGGAACTCGGGATGGGCAGGCCAAGAAGAGAAGGTCAGAGCTCTTATTATCTCTGTTTTACAAATGAGAAAACTGAGGCTAACAGAGGTTAAGGGACTTGCCCAGGGTCAAACAGCTGGTAAGCGTCTGAGGCTCTACCCACTGTGCCATGCCAATATCTTGACTTCTTGCCTAAATTTGCTCTGGGGATCACTCCATTTACCCGTCATCTAAACCCTTCTTGACCTAGTTTGCCACTCCTGGGGAAAATAACTTTCTTCATTTCTTCCCATCAGTGTCAAAACTGGGCTAACTGTCCCAATACCGAATCCCTTCTTTTCTCTGGGCCCCAGTTTCTTCCTACGTAAAATAAAGGGCATGGGCTAGTACTCGGCTCAGAACAAGAAGTGACAGAGATCATACAGTCTTTCATTCTGCTGAGGAGGAATTTTTGGTCCAGGGAGAGAAGGCCCAGCAGCAGCAGGGCCAGATTCAAATAGGACTCTTTAGCCAAAGCTCCTTGTCATGACTTTGCTTGCCTAAGGTCCCTTCCAGCCCTGGAATTCAAAGCTTGGAGGGCTGTGGGAGGCACAGGAGCAAGGCTGGGGCCCCGACCAGCAAGTCCTGTTTCTCTCCAAAGTATTTATTTCCCTTCCAAGCCACTGGGATGCCTGACCTCTCTATGACCTGGACCTGTGTCTCTCTATGGCTCCTCACCCCAACCCTGGACTATATAAGAGGCAGGGAGAGGGAGAAAGAATAGAAAAGACCCGTTTCCTGAGCCCTGGCCTGACCTGCTCAGCTCTTCACATTCGCCTTCTCCCAAGCACGACCATCCATCCCAGTACCCCCAAAGCCCAGGGAGCCCTTCACCCCTCCCCTCCAGGACCTTCCCTGGCCTGACCCACGGCTTCTAGAAAGGAAACAGCAAAGCAAACCACCGGGGAAGGGATGGTAATGGTGACGCCACCGTGGAGTTGTTTATTTTAGGAACCAAAAGGACAAAGTCAGAGCACACACCACCACTGCCACCCCCACGCCCTATTAAAGTGACCCCGCCCGTACAAGTGAAATAAATAAATAAACACAGATTCTGCCCACCAACGGGAAATAAACATAGGGAGCTCCCAAAGAGCAGGGTTGTTTTTTTAATAGAAAAAAAAATAGTGTAGGGGAGGGTTACTTCTCCCGTCCCGTCCCGTCCCGTCCAGTTCAGTTCCAACCGGTCCCCTCCTGTGCACATCGTGGGTCAGCTCCGGATCGAGCTCACCCACAGGGGAAGGGGACATCCACACCCCAGGGGAGAAGAGGTAGACATCTTGGCACCGCAGCCCTTAGCTATGGGTCTGGGGGCGCTTCCTAGGGGCCCACCGGAGAACACAGCCCAGCCGTCTAGACTCAGGGCTTCAAACCACAGCCCACCCCGGCTGCCCCTACGGTAGGGGCGAGCCTAGCCCGCTCCTCCCACCCGGGCCCAAGAGCCAAATGGATGCAGGCAGCTCCGAGCGCAGGTCCCTGGGGTGCTGGGCTCCCACCCCCCAGCTGCGTCTCCCCGAGGGCCTCGCCTCACTTCTTGGAGCTCTGGGTCTTCTTGGGCAGCAGCACGGCCTGGATGTTGGGCAGGACACCGCCCTGGGCGATGGTCACGCCGCCCAGCAGCTTGTTGAGCTCCTCGTCGTTGCGGATAGCCAGCTGCAGGTGCCTCGGAATGATGCGCGTCTTCTTGTTGTCGCGGGCCGCGTTGCCCGCCAGCTCCAGGATCTCGGCCGATAGGTACTCCAGCACCGCCGCCAGGTAGACCGGCGCGCCGGCCCCCACGCGCTCTGCGTAGTTGCCCTTGCGCAGGAGACGGTGGACGCGGCCCACGGGGAACTGCAGCCCAGCGCGGGACGAGCGCGACTTGGCCTTGGCCCGGACTTTGCCTCCCGATTTGCCTCGGCCAGACATCTCGGGAGGACAGAGAACCTGCAAGGAGACAAGGCGCTGCGGTCAGCGGCGAGGCCCGGGGTCCGCGCCACGGAGCCCCTGGATCCTCCCGGGGCGGGCTCGCTGTGCCGCCTACCTCGCTCCGCACCCGGGAGCCGCAAAGGCCGCTCGGCGGGCCGCAGAGAGCTGCACGCCCGCAGCGACAACAGCACCAGCAGCAGACACAAGCTCGCCGAACCTAGGCTGGGCAGGCTAATATAAATAAAGACCCAGCCGCTGCTCACTTCCCATTGGTCATCGCGGGATCGGAGCTGGGCTGCGATTGGTGCGTCTTCCGATCCGCGATTTGCATAGGCTTGCGAGCACACTAGTTTCAGCTACAGAGAGCTGGCGGGTCGCGCCCAGTGGCTCCCGTTTGGTAATTGAGCGGATGGATCAGCGGACAGCGGGGCTAGAGCTGCTGCACGACAAGGGAGTGTCCAGTGGGGCACAAGATGCTCCGTAAGCAAGCCTTTCCCCACGCTGCGGGGGAGCTCATCGGCGAGTTTCATCTCGCCGCGGGGCAACGTTTCCCCGGCTGCTTACAGTCCCCAGCAAACCCCTCCGAACAGCTTCCCCGCCCGCTACGCTGGGGCGTCCCTGCCTGGCCCATCCCGCCCCCTCTCTTTCGGAACCCGGGAAGATGCTACGCGGTTTCCTCTCCTGCCCCGAGCAAGCCTGTGGCCGGAGAAGCCAGTGCCCGGCAGCTTGGCATCCCAGCGCCGCAGGGCGTAGCGCGGCCCCGCTGTTTCCTCTCGGGGTCTGGGAGAGCTCTCAGGCTCCACCGCCGAAGAGCGCCCGTCTCAGGCTCGGCCCGTGCCCGGGACTATAGCCGATGAAAGTTTCGGGCCGTGCTCAGGTGGCCCTGTCCGCTCTCGTTCGCCTCGAAGCCGATTTAAACGCGGGGTCGCACAACAGTCCCAGCCTGGGTGTAAGAGAAAGACCGTAGCTGTCGATGAAAAGTTCTCCCGGGCTTCCGCGGGCAGCATAGTCCTCGAGCCCGAGAGAGCGGGGAGAGTCTGCGGCACCAATTTGTACTTTCAGGGGGATCATCTCTGGGGATCCCCAAGCCGTGGTCACCTGCGTGAGGGCAAGCTTCCCCAAAGAAGGCAGTCGGGCTGTCCGCCTTGAGGGGCGGAGGACGTCCCCAGAGATGGTGACGCTACCCGGCTCAACGCCAGATGAGGTCGGCCCTGAACCCCCACCCCCTCCAACCCTTGAAAGTGGCTTCCCAGGGGCTGCTAGGTGGCGCATCGGAGTCAGGAGGTCCCGAGTTCAAATGTGACCTGAGACCAGACCCTTGACATTTACTAGTTATGTGACCCTGGGCAAGTCACTTAACCCCAATTGCCTAACTCCCCCCCCCAAAAAAAATTGGCTTCCCATGTAACTCCGGCCCACCTTGTCTTTTCAGCCAAGCATTTACTGAGTACCTACTATGTGCAAAGTGAAGGGCAAAAGGCAATTGAGGAGCTCACAATCTAATGGGGACAACATGCAAACAAGCTATTTACAGTATAAATGGGAAATAATCCACAACGAAAAGGCACTTGGATTAAGAGGGATTGGGAAAGGCTTCCCACAGAAGGCAGTGTTTTAGCTGGGGCTTGTAGGAAGACAGGGAAGCCGGGAGGCAGAGATGAAGGGGTGGGGCTTTCCAGATATGGGATGCACACCATCTACTTCCCTAACCACTCACAACAGACATTTATCAATCCAGTTCTGATGCCCGTTGCATTCCTACTTTATAGCTTAAAACACAAACCAAATGCCTTCCCTAATATGACAGCGGGGTTGGGAGGGTGTTGCTTTGACTTCTTATATCGGTTGTTTGTCCTTCCTTCTTGTAGAGGATCATGACATCGATAAGGTTATGCCAGGACATCTAAGTGAATTGGATTTAAGTGAGGGAGAGCTGTGCAAGGTCACCAGCCTCACCTTCTCCTTGCAAGCCATCTGGGCCCAGTGGCAAGACAGAGATCAGAAGACTGGAGAGGGTCCCTTATACCAGTTGGCTCCATAACAATAATGCACTTACCTGGTAAAGTCATGCATTCTGCAAATATTAGGTGCTTTCAGTGCTTTGCACTTGGCATAAGCTTAATAGATGTTTGTTGAAGGATCCTTGCTATAGGCATAGATGTTTGTTGAAGGATCCTGGCTATAGACACTGGAGATACCAAGTCAAGTCTACCCTCAAGGAGCTTACATAGGGGAAAGGGGGAGGCAGAGGGTAGGGAAGGATTAACAGGTAAGACAGATACATAAATATAGGGTAATATGAGGGAGAACTCTGGAGGAACACCCCTGTATCTCCCCTAGCAATTGGAAGGAGGAATAAGAATCGGGGGGATTCCATGAGGACCTGACCCAACTTGGGGGATGGTATCTTGAGAGGCAAAGTTGAGGATGGAGAACACTGCAAAGTGGGAGACTTGGTGTACATGCCCTGAGGAAATGAATTTAATGGATGACAGCCTGTTAATTAGTTTATAGTCAACTGGTGGAAAGCCCTAAATGCCAGGTTGAGAAGTCTGTATTTTATCTTAGACACAAAAGGGAACTATTAAAGGTTTCTGAATAGGAATTACAGGCCTTAGAGTAAGTGAATGAAATGTGGAAGTAGAATCCAGAATAGTTGAGGATTCAGACCTTGGTTACTGGAAGAAGTGCCTTCAACAGAAACACTTTAGAGGACCGGCAGGTTTTCCAGTTAAAGGTGAATTTTGTTTTGGACATAGTCTAAAATGCCAGTGGGAACATCCAAGTGGAGATGTGACAAGGGCAGTTGGTAATCTGGGTCAAGTTTTGCAGAAATCTGTATACACAGATTTGGGAAATTTACATAAGCAGTTCCATATGGATCTATGTGGTGTCATTGGCCTAGATAAGAAGCAGAACAGAATCTGGGGGCCTTTTTCAGTTTCTTTTAACTCTGAAAGAATACTAGTAGACCACTCTTGCTTTCAGTGTGTGACCAGCCCATCCTTTTTTCCTCATACTTTCCCCTATGACATAAATTAATAAACAGATGAGATCACCAAGAAAGTGTAGAGAAAAAGTGCTGGACACTGGTATTGTGTAGTACCAGTGTTTATGGGGTAGAAAATGGATCACAAACTGGAGAATGGTCAGATAGGTAAAAGAACCAGGAGAAAACAATGTCATGGAAGACAAAGGTGAGTATCCAGGAGGGGGTGGTCAAAGGTGTCAGAACTACAGAAAAGTCAAGTAAGATTAAAGAAGAGTTTAGGAGTGCCTGATACACAGAAAGTCCTTAATAAAAGGCCACTGCAGAGGCAGCTAGGTGGCGCAGTGGATAGAGCACCAGCCCTGGAGTCAGGAGTACCTGAGTTCAAATCTGGCCTCGGACACATAACACTTACTAGCTGTGTGACCCTGGGCAAGTCACTTAACCCCATTGCTTAGTCCAAAAAAGAAAAAAAAAGTGTAAAAAAAAAAAAGGCAACTGGATTAACCATTTACCTTCAATAGAATTTCAGAAAAACATGGTTAAGTCTTATAGGAACTGAACAGTGAAGAAAGGAGAACCTAGAGAAAAATATACATTCAATGACTACAAAAATCTAAATAAGAACAAAAGACAGCTGAATTCACATTAAACACAATTACCAAGGGTTTGGACCCGAGGACTTCCCCTCCATAGGGGAAGGAGTAGTATGGATACCTAATGTTAACATACAGGCAGGTAGGTGGATGGAGTTCAAGGACTGGAGTCAGAAGAATCATCTTTCTTGAGTTCAAGTCTGGTCTCCAACACTTACCAGCTATGTGACCCTGGGCAAGTCACTTAATCCTGTTTGCTTCAGTTTCCTCATCTGTAAAATGAGAAGGAAATGGCCAACTACTCCAGTATCTTTGCCAAAAAAAAACCCCAAATGGAATTATGAAGAGTCAGATACAAATGTTACATCATACACTGAGTAACAGATGTAATCAACTTTGTCAATTGGCCTGCCTTTTTCTTAGTAAAAGGAAAGATTCTATTGGGGGCAATTGAAAAGAGATTGTAGAAGTTACATGAGGTCAGGAGCACAATGTTTTGTACACAATGACTGTGTGTTGAGTGAATCTTAGTGGCTGATTAAATTTAGATTAGAATGAAATGTGGTGTAAATATTTATTTATATACATTTTATTTGTTAATTTTCTCAAATGTGTATATGTATATATTGTCCCCTTAAAACAGCTGTAAGTCAGCTCAGAGACCTCTTTTGTTCTCATATTCCCCAGGTTATCTAGGACAGGACCGAGGCCCTCCCATAAAGTATTCAATATATTTGTTGCCCTTTACAAGATCACAGATCTGGAGCTGGAAGGCACCTCAGAAGCATTTAGAACAATCTCATTTTACAGATGAGGAAATTTAGTGAGGCCCAGATGGGTTAAGTGCCTTGCCCGGGGTCAAAGGTAATACAGATGATCTGCAGACATCCTGTGACTCAAGGCAGTGTTCTTTCCCCTGTACCATACTGCCTCCTAATTTAGTTGAGGAATGGAGGGGTGATTTAGTGACAGCCTTTACAACCTTAGCTGATATCCTCTATGAGGACAAACGTGGGTATCCCGAGTCCAAATTATTAAAGCATTATGTAAATGTCAACTAATGCTATTTGCTAAGCACATAAAGAAAAAAAATATAAAAAAACCTGACAAGGGGTCACTGAGAGTTTCTTTTTATTATTTCCAAATTGATGATTTCCATACAGAAACCGAACAGTGCTTCCCGGCCAGCGTGATTCCTCAGTCCTTTGGACATGTTCTGTCGTTGGGAAGCTGAGTAGGACCCCACTGATAGGAAACAAGTGTCACTTCGACCTCCTACACAGCTCCCCTTCCAATGTCACATTCAAAACTGGAAAAATCCATCACCAAAAGACCAAGCCACAACACTCCAAAGGTCAAAGAAACATCACAAAAAGCTGGATGAACTAATTGTGAATGGTCCAATTACTTCCATAAGAGGTCCTAACCCCCTAGGTAACACTAGTCTCAGGAGAGGTCATAAGCTAGGCCCCTCTTCTGTGAACCTGGCTCTTTGGGAATTACCCTTTGCCCTTGAGCTCTGCCCCCTGAAGCAGCAGACAGTTTCTCTGAGCCTGGTGAGCCCAGAGAAGGCATCTTAAAGCCTCAGAGACAAACACAAAGGTTCTGGTCCTTTAAGTCTACCAGTCCAC